TATATATATATATATATATAAAGATTATAGACATTAGATCCGATAATCTCTCATGAATACAAAACAGGAGCGAACGTGCAGTGCAAATGTGAAAGACGTACCCTTTGGGGTCTCTTGCTTTGGATAGTCTTCGACACTGTGTGGGTATGAGTGGATCGAGCAGATGAGGAACCCAACGGTGAACCACGCATCTTATCGATCACTTTCGCGGATTCCAGGGAAACGGACTTGTTGGCGTATGAGGAAGATAAAGACAACTTCGATTTGGCCTTATTCACTGAACATTTAGGTTGACCTGACCGACTGGCGTGCGATGAGTGCATCATTGCTTCGGGTAGGGGAGCCAGGCTACGTACAGCACCAGCTGTTCCAACTGGGTGGTGTGTCAACTGTGATCCATGTTTTGTTCCTTCACAATCAGGTCGCAAATTCGACTTCTGACCTATAACTTTGCTTTTTCTCGGCTCCGATCCCTGTTCGATCACTCGAGTGCAGACTGTTGGTACAGTGTGGTGCTTCTGTTGTATCTTCGTACGGTAATTCTGTGTCGAACTATGGGCTCGGTGTGGAGCGTTATCCAAAACCGTTGACGATCTGGTTACATCCTTACGCGAGTGATGGGATGCCGAAGCGGGCCTACGCTTCGGATCAGCAAAGCCAGAAGACAGACGCGTCTCACTGCCCTCAGAATCCAAATCCTGGAATGAAGCAAGATAAAATACATTTTCACGTAAGCAGGTGAGTTTAAATGCTATTGACGAATGAGCTTATTCGGACAACTCAATAGCGCAGCTATTTAAAGGGCCAGCAATTCATCCGGAGCGTTTGATACAGGATCCGTAAGGTGTACTTCACTCAGGCTGCTAACGGTTACGATTATGGTAGCTGGAGGAAGCGGAATAGTGTGGCTACAGCCATCGGTATACGCATCCCAAAATTTCACTCACTAAAAGTCTAAACACACTTACCGAAGATGACGACAGGTGCCTTGATATCGGACGCGGCAAGGATCGCTCATTTTGATGTTCGGATCGATGCTCGCATGCATTGGAGTCACGAGTGGAACGTTCACGGAGAATTGAACGTGCTTTCTCTTTTCGATTCTGTAAGGAGGATACAGAACTCGAGGGCATTCGCGTCCTCCCCGCTTGAGAGACTATATTCTTGTTCACTAAGGCAGAAGAGGACGACGAGGTGGAGCCCAGGGATGATGTACTTGGGGACCGTGCTTTGCGCTTCTTTGCAGCATTCGGTCTAGAAGACGATGACCAGCCATGGTGGGCTTTCGCGCCTTTGGCGTGCTCAGCAGAACGGACCTTAGAGGGAGAGGATGGATGTTTTGCCCGTATCTCTTGTGGCACAGCACCTTCGGGCTGCAGCACCGGAGGGACAGTGGAAGAAACATCTGCAGAAGACGACGCTGTAAAAAGAACACATCGTAATGGAGTTCATTTAGATCTACTCAAAACGTGGTGGCACAATCGAAATTCAAAGAAAACCAGTGGATGGAAATACAGCATTCATCTGAACAAAGGCGATTCACGAGCGGCCTCGGTGATCTTACTTCATCGATGGTTTCCTTAGGTGAATATCCCTTTCACAAACTCTACAGGTGGCTACTGCTACGCACACGAATTAACGCGACAGCTTTCAAATAAGCCCTCCAAAGCAAAGATTATCTATTTATAAAGAAAATTATTTTTTGTATGAAAGTGAGCGGTCGGGTGGTATGACTCACCCGTGACTGATGAACTGATCACACTGTATAGATTGCGCTGCCTTGGCCACATGCTCCGTATGCCAGTCGACCGAATTCACTTTTCGCACAAACACGTAAGGGTCAAGACGAGCAAGGGAAGGTCAAACAATGGCTTGGCAGCGAAGTATAAAAGTCATAACCAACAAATTCAGCTGCTCTGGTCATTGTCGTCTTTCTGCATGGGGACCCCGAGACGGGTCACATCAATGGTCAGAAACATTATCACACATGGCTCCGTCGCGCTTTTAATGGCGCTCGTGCATCCAAACTGTTGCCTTCAACGCATAGCTATTTTCCCAATCTCTCACTTAACAGTCGTGTATTTACGCACCAATCTATCTGACCCCACCACTCCAAACCATCGGTGAACGAAAATTTGGCGGCTATAACCACTGTACGACAAGTACGCGGTGCTTACAGATGATAAGGAAGATGATGCTTGTAAGTCCTCGGTTGAAACAATCAAGAATACACCGCTCGAATTCGCATTTTTCACGTGGTTTCCAGAGAGGTACAACTACAATAGTTATTCGTAAGCGCTGCACAAGAAGTCACGAGTTTCGGTTTTGATTCCTTGATAATATCTTGAAGACAGGGTTAAACCGGTTGAACTTATGAACCACATTACTTATTAGTCATGCAATGGATGGCCCTCCACTAGGTTGCCATCACCCACTAGGTTTTGTCGGTCTCCTACGTGTCCCATTTCCCCAGATGTTCCGATGACCGCTAGGAAACGCATCGGTCCGCACTACAGCTAAGTGAACTGAAAAACGACGTGTGTGTGTGTGTGGGGGGGGGGTAGAATGGTTAGGCAAACCCTTAGAGCTACATTGAAACGGACAGGAGAGTGAAGGGTAGTTGGATACGCAATGCCTAGAGAAGATCCCAGCATCTGTATGAAACTTTAAACTAGGATATACACAGTGAGACTTTTCCTTTCGACAACACTGATAAGGTTGGGGGAGGATTCGGTTAGTTGTATGCACCTACAAATTTTCAGAGTAGCCATTAGTTGAAGAATGTCTCCATAATGTTTCTTCCCTGAGTCTTACTCTGACGGATATATATTTCTAAATTTTCGGAACAATGTCTTGTCTAGATCTCAGTCACAAACTGTTGTGGAGAAGATACCGAATTGTAAGTACTGGTTAGTTGAGAAAAACCGTACATTCCGAAACTCCATCCAATGGCCCATGGTCAAGACATTTTGGAAGACTTGGTTTCAACTGGACCCCTCAAGATGTACAAACACCTTGCAATTAATATTATTCGAAATACATGGTCACTGCGTTGAAATATAAGAAACAAAGAAAATAGTGTAACACATGAGTCTAGTTAGTGCCACGAGAAAATAACTGGCTGGTATGTTATACCAAAACATAAGGCAAGTTTCACAGATCGATCATAATTAAAAAATACTGCTACATCACATCGACCATCACTTGCAGCCATCAACCGGCGCGCCATGCTTGTTGTGTAACGCCAGGCGGCAAGCGGAAACATGTAACCTGTGTCCGCTTCGTTACATGAACTCCTTTCCGTTTCGTATAGCACCAGTGTCGATGTTTGCTTTGAAAGCCATAGTACTACGACTGACAGTTTTATCCACTTGACACCACTCCCAAAAGCAACTTCGGTACCACGGTCTACAAAAAGGCCTCAAAACCTGGAAATCAATTCTCATTCTCTGAAAACCGGTTTGCTAAACTGCATTCTCAATAAGCTGCTATTGCTCATACGCTGGATTTTTTCTGCACGAACATCTAATGGCACAGAGACAGCTGATACTGGATACTCCGGGGTGGTTATTGCGTTGAGCCACCAAGCGGAAGCATCTGTCTTTCAGTCGATATCCATTGATAACTACCCCAGTGGTCCGATTGGTAACATTTGTGAAAGAAGCTTGAAAAAAGAAGATTCATCGCTTCCTGTTTAATGTACCTGTTTTTGCCCAAACGAACAGCGCTTCTGAATCAACCGAGGCTAATTTCTAGGTATTCCTTCATGGCGCACGCCGACGTGGACGTTGGTGATATGAATACCGGAGTGAGTTCAGCAATACTGAGTGTGAATTCAGTGTCCTGGGTTGAATACGACAAGCGGCGACAACGGAGAGCGGTTACCACGGTCTGTTCCTTCACACCACTTATCCCCAAGACCATGGAAATCGTTTGACAATGAAATGCGCACGAACGACTCACTTCGAACCCACACTGCCACCAGCTATCGATGGCGTGGAGTGAACACTAGCGACAGCGCCTTCTGTAGTAACTCTATGGACTTCGATTGATGTGGACGCTGACATTAGAAATTCGCCTTAAAACCAGGTTGGAAAGAGGATATGACCGTGAACTGCTCGGACTAATTCGTACGAGTTTGCTTGATGGTTTTCTATGAAAATACATGCAGTGCGGTGCATATTAATCGGTGACCGGATTCCAAACACGCATTCAGGTAAAAACGGTGGTTAGCTGAGAGCCATGTATGCAGTGAATCCAATTCTGATGAGTAGGGAGGTGTAAAATGAAGCTTACCAAGTTTGAAGTTAGAATTGTCCGGCGAAAACGTAGGTTAGCACAATTAGTCAGAAAAAGGTTACCGTTGTCACTTTGGGTCACGACAAGACTTCAAAACCCATTTAATTGACGTCAGGCGGCAAAAGTATGCAGCAGGGCCTACAGCTAGTACCACAATATCGGTTTCTGGACCTTTGTTCAATAAACCAGCATTCAGTCAATGGGTAGACAGAGACTAGTTTGACGTTCAGATATACATTCAGACTACAATATTTTCGTGTTCCGGTTGCACGCCGTCCACTGCTCACAGTTATCGGCCTCAGGAAGCGGAGTCGACACGCCTACTTAAGTGTATATCCACACCTGAACCACCAGCCGATGAACAAATGTTACAGCAGCGAACGGACGACAATAGCACACACCGGTGTGCCGGCTGCCCCCACTGGCTATATCTAGCCAACAGGTCATCACACAAAAGTTCCCATTTTGATACGCCAGTCTGATCAACGTCAAATAGCACTAATACTGGTGGCCACACCATTTCGTTTGGAATCACAAGTAAGCTTCACCGGCCACCTTGCAACACAATCATAATCATCCATCAGTAGATTTTTCGAGCTACATGTCTTTCATGCTAAAAGGTGTTGACCTCTTTCATAAGGTGTCCCGATGTACTTCTCACGATGAATCAGTTATGCTTAGCAAGTTCTTTCTGACTAAAGTGATTAAACAACAATCAATATACAGCAAGGTATGTAATCAAGGCTTCAAGTTGAGGATAAGAAAATCCTTCACCTCCAACAGGGGACTTAAAAGTAACACCAATTCATCTTCAGATTGTTCCTAGATCGTCAGCAGCTAATCAAAATATCTCACACAAATAATCCGAGACAATTACATGAGAAGGGTACACAAACTGGAAAACTCTAAGGAACTGGGTGAACTCTTAGTACAGTCTTATTAACAGGCGAACCGACCTAAAGTTGGACCTTTCGCAAACAATCCCGCCCAGGAGAATGCAGTGGAAACCCGCGACTGATACCCGAAGATGTGATTAGCCTACGACCCACAAGTCACCTAAGGGATCAGGAAAGCAAACTTGAAGGTTGATTGTGAATGAATTAACGAACATCAGAAGACTGACTACCCAAATCCGTATTTGGCTATCATTTTGGAGATAAATATGATTGTCCGGCCATGGACAGATCACCTCAAGATATCAAGTAGAAGCCTTTCTGCCGGTTGGTCACTCTGATTCAACGGTAAACACAATACACATGCTGTAGAACGAAACCCTAAATGGTATGTGTTACCTTTAGAAGGCGAATCAACGATCTTCCGTCCGGTTGCGTTCACAACGCGATGTTTCTCGGTCGTGATCGGTTGTTCCTCTCTCGTGGAGACAGTGGAACACAGAGCAGTGTCCCCACCACGGTTATTCCCAGAAACGGCCGAGACGTCTGCACAATTCAGTTCCTCGGATTGCCCACCTTCAAGAGCAAGCAACTGATAGCGGAGCCGTATGAAGTGGGCCAAAACAAATGTGTCTGACGGTAGCTCAGTCAAATCCAACCACTGAGGATTCTTCATACACTGCAGCACAAAGGAAGGCAACGCCAAAGACTGCTGTCCTGGTGCTGATTTCTTCACTGTTTGGATAGGCTTGTCCCATTGCTTCACAGAATCGGAAGGTGCGTAATCCTTGAGTTTGCTGGAAAATATCGAGAAGGGTCCAAAATGATTGAAGTCGTAGAATACAAGGGGCAATGCACGAGGAACACAGGAAGAGTTTGTAAGTCTGATTGCTACTGATCTTGCCGTTCAGGGCTTTGTTCGGTTCCATAAGAAAATTGAAATTGTTAAACTATAGAACATTACATAGTTCTCTTGGTAGCCCACGAAAAATGCTCTGGATAGACTATGAACAGTGGCAAGAACCATCCACGAGCAAACACAAGGTTAGATGACTGAGACGTTACATCATGAGTTTATTCTTGAACGGATAACTACTGGGTTAGGTAGTACAGGATAGAGTTGGTTCACTTGCTCAGTTTCACAAGTTTGTTTGTTTTCACCCAGGTTGTTGAGTGCACACAGTAAAATCTATCGAGTAGGGGAACAAATTCCAGATCAATATCATGGTGGATCGATGGACGAATGTTGAACTCCAATTAGTGAAACACATGATAATAAAACACCGAATGCAGTTCAGTGCCAGCGTGCAGGTATTCTGAAGATATAACAATACAGACGGTGGCGGAACGGAAATTTAGTATCTCCATGGGTTATCGATGCCCCGATATCATGCAACGTTCCAAAGGATGGGTGACGTCAGCAGCTATCGGACCAGGGTTGGTTGCTTAGGTAGAGCAACACTAGCTAGCCAGTTACTGTTTTGAATATCAAGTGCAAAAATAGATTCGACAGCGTATTTTACATTAAGGAAATACTGGTAGTATTGGCAAATATTGGCAACAGGAATTACCCAGGTTATGGGACCGATATTGTGAGACGCTCATACATGTACAGAAGTGAATCGGGTCACGATCAGAATGATGTTTAGCAAAGTATTGCGTTTCAGGACTAAAAATTAAGCTGAAATGTGCTTGGAGTAGCTTCCCGCCCAAGCAACGTCAAGGTGCTGTCCAAATTAACACCCCATAAGACTGTTTAACCAAGTACGGCCTTCTTCAGGTTTAAGGCGTGTCGTAAAGACAGCCGTACCAGAAGATATCGATAAAATGCTCATGTTACTGAGGAATATGTTGATAGCTCTAGCATTTTGCGCGTGGTTTTTCTGTTCGATGAGCTTGCTCCCCCAGACCACACGGACGTATAGTCTTCCCAATGACGCTACATTAATTTACAATGCAACGGTGGTGCCAACTCGGCCAGTAACGAATTTTGCAAAAAATGACCAAGTTCCGCGAACATAACACCGGCCACCCTTAGATACCTATGAATTACTAACATGTTGTAGCTTATTTCCTTATGGTGAGATGAGATGACTGTGTAAAAATCAATGATCTAAAACATTCCACATAAGTGGAGAGGGAAGATGAGTCTATAGTGGAAATAGAAACCGAACAGCCATTCGTGAAAAAGTTCTTCATTTCTTACATGATCACCCCCTGAATTTTTTGCTTTGACTGACGAGCGTCAAATAGAGGAGCTCGTGTGGCCGTTGTCAATCGGAAAAATCAAAATCATCCACAAGTGACGCAAATTAAGAAACGTGATCCGGACCTTTGAGACAAAGACACTTCTGTCAGGGCCGAAACAACTACAGAGACGTGAAATCCCCCACTACCTCGAGTGCTCGGCCTTGAGTTTGGAATTTATAGACCGAATAAAGCACGGCCTCGCACTTTGAAAGTGAAAGGCATACACCCAAAGATGGTATGTATAGGGTGAGTCAGACTGCAGGCATACTAAAAAAACATCCGTCATCTACCCAAATAAATCAACTTCGCCCGACCTACTGTTTATTTTGTCATCGTGTCAGGTTATTGCAGTTTTCGCTCCAGTGAAGTTGTAGGAAGACCGATAATGTGAACAAGAGGTAGCCATCTGTATAGTCGACCATGAGAAACGTTCTGAATTGTGAACGGTGGATTATAAATCCTCATCAAACCTGAAATTCGCTGCAGTGTAGCGGTTCCCACAACATAGAGTTTCAGCCATTATATCCACTCCACGCTAAGCCTCAAGGTGATGAGTAAACTAAGCAAAGGCGAAATCGTTAACTTGATTAGTGTTTTGCTATGTGAGTTGTGGTCTAGAAAGAAGACGCTAACCTTCAGCTCCAACAAAATACCAGCACATAAAAACTCTGTATGGGTATGCCAAATAATGCGAACCCATAAGGAATTCAACTCATCTGTTCAGAATTCTGAGGCATCCAAGCCTGATACTTTTTTATAAAATAAGCTGCTTGTTCTGTCCGTTCTTGTCTTTTCGACGAAAATACTGAAACAAAGTATGCTTATAAATGTCACCTCTCTCTCATTGTGTCTGCGTGGGCGCCAATCACGGTAAAGATCACATGTCTATGGTATGCATCCAAGTGTGTCTAAACGCGTATCTGTGTGGACGGCTGGGTGAAAGCGACTTCTAATTATATGGTGGTTGAATTGATGGTTACCCAGCAAAAACAACACCAAGGCGAGATGCACCTTACCATGAGTAAAGTGATTAAGGGTCCAAGTAGCTTAGAGTTTCACGGAACAGTCTATAAAAATGCAGCACTGCGTAGAAAGAATGGACTGATTCCAACCCATTCCAATTAGAAAAGATGATGCACTGCAGGACCTTTAGTGTACGCCTTGGTTTGGCACGATGTGCTTCCGCGACGCGTCGAAAACAACACACCAATAATGCAAGCAGTAGATTGCATACGATAGAGGGACGATAGAGGAGAGGGTCATAGAGTGTTTCAGTAGAAACATAATACACCACATGCGAGTGGTATGAGGCTGGTTGTCTCCGGAAAGATATTGGAACTACCAAAACAGTTGTGGTTTGATGATGAACGCAGCGGACATGTACGAAGAGACATTCTCATGAACGATATGTGGTAAAATAGCGAACAGGACGAAGAAAATCAATGGTTCATTGATATGCGGAAGCCACTAAGCGAGGGGTGCACCAGTGTCTCAAAGTAGCGAATTTATTAAGCTGCTGCAACGCCTTGAGCCAGTGAGAACGGCAACAGAGAGGAAGAGAGAGAGAGAGGAGAAAACTGTCACATAGCCTTTGAAAAAGCTTGGAAACTGCGGCTTTCACTCAGCCTAAGAATAAGACCCTCACTTCTGAAAAGTAACAGTTGATGCATTGGCATTCCACACAATGCATCCATCGAGAGACTTCAAAGAGCAACTGGTAACCCCTAAAAATGTCCCAGCTGCAAGATCTAAGCCAGTGGTTATGTTCCAACAACATCATCTCCACAAACTTTTTGTACTTAAACTATTATGCTCACAAACGCGCGAAACGTTCGACAGATACCGTAGTATACATCCAGTTTGTGTAGAAAACGTCAACTTTAGCTCATGAAGTTGGGATTCGAGGGCGCTTATTCATAATGTTTGATGGTATTGAAAAACTATTTTTCTTCATGTCAAAATCAGTATTACCCATACCCTGGATAGCTTCGTGGCTGAAACCATTCGAGAGATATTGGTGGTGTTATCAAGTATCTACTGGCTGAGGAACATTGCAGGGTTCTCAGATCACGGGTCGTGCTTTGTAATCACACGTTCACTAAACCATGCACGGTCATCAACGACAGATAAATGAACAGTGTTCCGGTGTTCTGTGCAATGCACATAGGCCCATTTTAACGGTTAAAATAGCTAGATTTCGGGGTTCGCACTACTGCAGGTAAACTAACTTATAACAATTCAATGTTTGTATTCCATTGACACAGGATTTTTCAAGCTAGTCCCTGCCCTGTCCTTTTTCTCTCCACTTTTCGCCAGGGTGTTTTTTGCTGACGGTTGTGGAAGAGGTAAACTGGCGTATGGCTCCCAGTAATGACGGTTATGATAATACAAGGGTGGCATATTAAGCTTTACGTTTTGACATGGAAAAATGAGTTAGGTGGGAAGGGTGAACGGACCGTGTACGAGGTTCAAGATGTTAGTAGTTATAATTCACGAATTATATTTGAAATCGATAATTTGCTCAAAAGCAACTGCAAGACTCGCTGCGCGCGTGACGATTCAACTGCGCAGGCTGCATCGCAGCCATTTCGTGACGAATCCAGTGGCAGTAGGGTGCAGTGCATTGCACCGCAACTGATAATTGTCAAGTGTGAACCTAACGTACGACTGGTAGCGTGACAAACTGTGACGAACGAGATATCGAATCAGTCCCAAGTGCAGCGTTTATTTGATGTTCCATACTGTGGTGTACACAACTAATGTTCCAAATTAGCAATACATATACATTGATTGATTGATTGCATGGAGATCCGAATAGATCACGTGCCAGTGCACGCGTTGAGTGTCACACCGACTTCAGTGAAAATCTATATTTGCGGTATCATTTACAACGTGAATTTTCAGGACGCGAGTTGAATTATACTCGAAATGATTCCAACACGAGAGAGTTCGGGATACCACGAGGGATGGACCATTGAAGTTGGATGGAATATATATATCATAGATATTGCGAGCATCCCAAAGTAAAGTTGCGACACAATTCCATTTGAACCTCAGTAGTCCGTGTCCCTGACTGAGGCAAGCGAACGGTCCTAAAATACCGGTAGCATTATTCACCAAGACCCTCGTTTCAAGATGGATCAACAGTAAAGATAGCTTACGACGGCCAAATAAATGAAAAAGGTGGCGGTGACCGAAAACACTGAACGATGTTCCAACTGATCCTTAACACTGGGAGAAAAAACTGTGAATCCAACAAAGAGAAAGAAGGCTCCAAGACCCGTCAACTGGATAATATCGAACAGAGTTATCTGACCAAAGGATCAACGCATCACCAGCTTCAGAATGGGGTGTGAGCGTGTTTTGTCCCACTAAAGAATGTCACCAGCCGTCCCGTCTTTTTTCCTACCATGGTGAATGGACCAGCGGTCCGACGAACATTATACTAGTTACGGAACCACAACAAAAGTGAAGGCAAAAAATGAAATCAGATATCAGAAGAGAGAAAAATCATTTAACCCTGACTTTTACCTCCCGATCACTTTCGAAGATAGAGAAGATCCCAGTTGCTTACACAGAGCACCTTAAAACTAAAGTAAATGTTACAGGAATAGCATGTATCTAATATTGTTACTACGCCTAAAAAGGCATCACAATGTAGGAGAATTCAGTTCGTTGGTGTCCTGAATTTCGCTTAGTTCGACTCTTATTACGTCATGATATGGATGATACACTAATAACGGTTGCCGTTATCGAATCGGATAAAACTAGCAAGCAGTTAATCACAAACAACTGGACACGCACTCTGGTATTTCCTTGTAAAGAATAGGGATCCAATAATGAGATAATTAAGCCAGACGACAGGTTGGAGTTACGCGGCTCTTGACGAAAAATAAAGCCAGAGCAAAAGTTTGGTCATACAAAAATTATTTTTCTCGAGAGGTGATGCAAGGTTCAATTTACCGCAAACATGGCGCCTTTCTGGATACACAGCTTACACTTAATTCGAGAGGTTTCCAAACTTCCAAAAATTTATTCAACAAAATAAACCAACTAATGAGCCATTCAGAAGGCTAACGAACCCACCTATCTGTCACGCCGTAGAACTCGCGCAAATGAGCACGAATCGCCAACAGAAGAAAACAAACTGGCCCAGTGTGAAACATGGCCTCGATGGCTTGCTGTCGCACGGTAGATGGGGCAGCTCGTGCAAACAAACGTGATAATTGGCCTCGGTCATCCCATTCTGGAGTTATGGGGTCGTTTTCGCATCTCACAACGGTGGACCCGTCTACTGTTGAACTGCAGCGAAGCTTCTCGTGGCTGTTGCATAGTTTGGCTTCCGCTGCATCCAGCAGATTCAGCAACAAGGTCTCCGACTCCACAGAATTTGGGCGTTCTTGGTCTACTAACATAGATGAGAGCAAAGCTTGTTGCATGGCTCGTACAAGGGATGGACCACAATCGCTGACTAAACGTTCCACCGTGAACGCCACATAGAGAACCTCATCCATGACAGTGTAGGGGAAATGAGTGAGTTGATCCGCGAGGAATACAATCTGACCAAGCGGAAGTCTCCATACAATCGGCGGTAACAGACTGGACAAAGTGGATTCGAAATGCGACTCTGGTGGCTTCTACAGATTGGACAGAATATGAACCCAGTGGTTAATTTCGATTATAGGTATAACAAACGCAGTTAACTAGATGCTTGTTTGGGAATAAAATATGAAGAGACTGATCGGAGGTTGCAAAAACTACAGTCCCTACTGGTTAATCATGTCAACCATGTAGGTTTACGACTATACCCAACAATCACTGTGCCCTAAAACAACTACAGAAGGCCTGCTTGTTTTTTTAAAGTACGAAATCAGATGACAAAAGGCGATGATTTCGGAATAATTCCGACACATTGTGCGAAAGTTGACACAAAGCTACAGGTTCACAATCAAGACTGAAACAAAAGTTGTCTGGGATTATTTCCTGTGCTTGACAAAAAAGTAATTCCAACCAAGTATCCAGTGGAGGTATCATTTAAAGAGCGGTGGGTGTCACTAGGTGATATTGAGCGTGGTTGCTTAGTTGCTACACCCTTTGGGTAACTAGCTGTCATGCCATTTGAGGGAGGCACAAGTGATAAACTTCTAAGTTGCTCAAACTCAGACAGGGATAACCGAGATGTCATGATCGGGTTCGAACCACGAACCTTCCGGTCGGTAAGCTCGCGCTTTCTCCAACTGTTTAGATATGGAACCAGCTTACTTTCATTCAAGGGGAACAGTTCTGCAAACACCCGAAACTTCACGGCAGATTTGGCTAAAGCAACCGATACCATCCTCCAGTATAATTAGTTGATCGCGCAGTAGTGGTCTGAAAATGTGGAAACAATCCAACTGTGTTGTAACGTAAAACGGGACAGTCAGATGTATGTCCCTGTATGTTGCACGGATGGATCAAGTGAAGTAGATTTTTTTGTCTTTTGAGGTCGTGTGTATTTCAAAAGGAAAAGACATCATATATTTAGTCACACGTTGTTGGGATATCGAACGGCACGAAAGAACCGGGGTAACAGGTTTCTATCCTTTATCCATGCCCGAGAGTTGGCATCACGATGCAGTTGGCTACTGTAACGAACATTCCCACCTATTTACTTGCGAGAAACAGAATAATCCACAGTTAACATCAGCCTTCCCCATTATGTACGCATAAAATTTCGAGACATACCACAAACAGGCATACGTGAAAGCTTATCTTCAATCTCTTAGCTCAGCAAGAAATCCTACATTCAGGATACGGGATTAGCACTACTCTAACATCTTGTTGATGATTCATTTATACGCCTAAGCGGCTGGTTATATACACTTCTTAACGAGCTCTCACGCATAAATGCAGGTAGCAGTAGGAAAATTACCTTTTATCAGGATTGCGGCTACACCGATGACGACTGATCAACTGACAAAGAGGTTGTCCTGCAAAGTTAACTAGTACGAAGTACCCTGGGCCAACAAATTCCAGGCTATTGAAGTTGTAATGATTACCAACACTGCTACCGTGTATTAGGGAAGCAACTGGCTTTCTAAAGATCCGCGCTACGGATAGACGCCATGCATGAGCAAACTGTAGGAGATGGATGTTAGTAAAAGAAATGCCCGTAACAAATGGTAAATCATGCCACGGTTGTTCCATTTTACGTTTGGCCTGTCTGTGTGAACCAGATCTACACCGGTCCTCCTAGATGTGAAATTTTAGCGGCCAGTCGTCATAATTATCGGCAGCAGTGCATCAGCACTAAATATCGGTGCCAAATAGTTAGTTGTGCGATGAGGCGTTTCAGAGACAAAGTTATTTGCGGACAAATTGGGACAGCGGCAAGTTGTTCCGCAATAAATTGACGAAATGGACTGATCAGTATGAAACGGTCGGTTACAGTGGTGTGCACGTGAGACAGTGGTATCATTACGAGTCACGGTGGGTTGCATGAATGTAAAACACATCAGAAAGCATGCAGTTGGGATTACCTGATTCAGGTGAAATAAAGAAAGGATGCTGGAGATGAGAGATCGACGGCTTTGACGATTCGAACGGAGCATTGCGTACACTCCATGGTTCAGAGCCATCGGGTGGGAACTGGAGGACGAAGGACCACAAGGGGAGCAGGAAGCGTCGGACGCGTTAAAACCACGGACAAGTGGAATATGCGTCAAATTACTGCTTGTTTCCAATGCAGTGATTCGGAGAAGTAAATGCATATAGTAGGACATCCGGAAACCAACACCAACATGTATCTAGGATAGAAAACCCCGAAAACAGAGGTTTAGTAAACCATGGACGCTGAGATTGCGAAACAACCTAACATCTAAACTAGCAAAACCATCAGGCTATTCAGTAGTAGCAAATGTTGCACTGTGGAGTAAGGACAACGCTACATCAGATGCGCTGCTGCGTCTGGTTATGCACTGTATCACGAAGCACCGTTCTTCATGCTTGCGTCTTTTTTGTCTGTATTCAGGGAACTCGAAGCCACCAAACGTTCATTGGCAGACATGAAGAAACAACAGACAACAGGAATAGCACTTACTGCTACGAATCCGGGCATTTTACGTTCAGCTTCCACCAACAAATGGGAAGCACGTGAACGGTTACTGCTATCCGGATCCGTTTGCATGCATATGAGGAATGGCAGTGCTTGTGTCGGTTGAACGAGACCTTGACGCATGACAACGGAGACGAATCCCAGAGCAGAAGTGCGAACATTTGATGACGGGGTCAACGCACAGTAGTTCAAAACGATTGGTAAGTAGTCCTGTGCAACGGCACTCCCGTGTCCAGAGCGACCATCTGCTATCTCTTTGAGCGACTCCGTTTTGTGTACAGATTGCCCTGAACAAAGATGACAACAAACTGATGACAAGTGCGGTCACAAATGAATGAAGTAAATAGTGGGTGCAAGTATGAGTGAATAACTAAGGATGGAATCTTGTGTAAAGACCCGCTGCAAAATGTGCAGGCAAAAAGATGCAATATCATGGGGCCAAAACATGGATCTTCAGTAAGCGGCAAGCTCTCAAAAACTTTTGGACAAGACTGGCAACCTCCGCTAGTGTTTTATAGAGTCAAACCATATAAGGCATGAGTGGGTCGGATGGTGAACGTCTGAATTCAGAGGCCTGTTACCAGTTATAGCATCTCTACCACTGTAAACGGAAACCAACACCGATCGCGGAGAAGAATGATAAGAAGGATCTGACTACCATTTTGACTTTACGGATTCATTCAACCGATGGATACTTGCATGATCCATATAGAAAAGTGACCCGAAAAACGTTCACTACGATGAGATATTCGACAACCGAAAAAGAAGGTATAACCATGTGGGAGAAAGTGTGACTAGCTACGGTCAGCTGGGTCGCCTAGACACCATTATTTGAATATTTATGGGTTGTATATCCTAATTAGTCATCGATCCTGAAGGAAAATGTGATCAGAACCAAGCTGCGCTCTTGGAATCAGATCGACTGCTAATGAGGAGATGTGACTGGCCTGCAAAAACACAGCCAGAGAGGATCTAGCTTACAAGCACAACAGCCGTCAATTGACCATTTGGGTAATAGTTACACGCGCTGCAGCAACTGTTCCCGGGAAGCTGTTCTGCATTAATGTGAATTGAGATTGAAAGGCAGTAGTTCATGAGCAAGTCGAAATCACCATACGCAGAACTGATTGTGGTGGGTAGAACGGTATGATGGTGACGAGGTATGTACAAACACATTGAATTGGGCTGAGCTGAGCGCAGCGTGAATGGAAGTTCAGTCTGGCAGGAACAAGCACAAAGGATTTTATCGCGAATAGTGATTGCACCCAGTATGGCAACTCGGCTATTGGGTTGATTAAACGTATACACACCAATCAATCAAATGATCATACGTTTTCGCCCGATCACATGTCGGGTAAAAAGACGGTAGCAGGATACCAAAGCTGGCCTAAAGTTGGAAGGCTAACACACGTGGAAAATGCAACAATGGTTAAAATTGATGCCTGACAAACGGGTGAGTCATCTGAGTAGTTATCCGTATTACTCTTACTTTTAGCTACTCTCATTCCTCATGAGATCGGGAGCAAAAAGTTAATGAAAGCACTCAAAGCGAGACTCCCTGTCATTATAGGAAGCAAAATATAAACCAATACCAATGGTTCACCTTAAAAACTGACGACTAAGGGACCTGGTGCTAGTCTACCACAAGCATTCTAACGAGTCTAATCCTTCCAAAACTCACCAAGCGAACATGGATAAAGATTGACGTCTATGGAAGTGTTGCAGCTGGTACAGCCAAATAGCTGGTTGTTGAGCTCAACTGGATCAAACTTGGAAATAGTTTCGGTTTACACATAAACAGAATTGTATTTCTTAAAGCCGTCTAGCGTCTTGTCAATAACGCGTCCTGACGCTAGTAACTCCACTAAGCGCAGGTGACTGGGAAAGCTCAAATTCTGGTGGCCAACAAACCGGCAAGTATTCATAAAAAAAGAGTGCCGAAAGAACGGCGATACTGACTTACATAGACGATTGTCAGCAACCATTTGGCGTTCGGTTTCCATCAAATAATGAGTCAAATTGTCCAACACTATACATTGCATTTCATGAAATGTGGAAATTTTCATTGAGCTCATTGACGGCAAAGATGCATGGTCCATAGTGAAGAACCGTGACAAAAATGTACGCACACGTTTCGTACACAAAAGGTGATCATGGCGGGATAGGACGAATCCGAGACCCATCACAGCTTTTCTACAGAGGTCCGGATCGTTCATCACGTACTGAGAAGTCCGTCCACTACCGGTGTCTTCAGATGCTGCATCTGCTGGGAGTGGAGCTGCCGCATATTCCGCAAACAACATTAGGGTGTCCACAACTTCATCCAAGACGTTCGAATTGCTTGAAGCCTGCAGAAAACATGAACCAAATAAACGTTGGGTTACAAGGGGCCGACCTGAACAGAATACCAAACGCGAGAACTAAACGTAGACCTAGGCACGTGGACCTATAGTGCACCTAAAACGGAAGAATGTCTAATCGAGTCCGAAAATAAAATTAGCGTCAGATAACAAATACCAAAATACACTGGTGAGGAACACACAATACTCAGAAAGGTATACGTGAATTCTGTACTTTTCTAAATTGTGTCCAATAGCATTATCCCAGAGGAGTTGAAGTCGGCTGAGGCGCGAAAATCGTTAAAAATTGCGGTACATCTACTAGACAAGGGGCTGAGTTACTGTGCCATTCGATGACAAACGGCCCAAAGTTCGTGAATTGCTGATTTTAGTGCAAACAATACTTCAAAGAAACGAAGATGTCAATGGAAACCATAAAATGGCGAAAACAATACAGGATCGACATTTGAGAAAATGAACACATACCACCCGATCTGTAGTTGTCATTAGGTCCTCGATTTCGAAATGCTTGCACATAAGTCCGACAGTATAAAGGGCGCGAAGTACCGACGGTCTATTTCGAGACGAAACAGCCGATGTGCTGGTGACCTTTGTAGATAGGGCTTTCCGAAGACTGAATGATAAGTTGGTAAGCAAGCCTATAGGCAGAGAGTGAAAATTGGAGACAAAATAGCACCAGAGTTCTCCAGCACATCATGTATATGACACCTATGGTCACGTGGTGAAACCCATTATTCTGTGGAAAAGCAGTACATGGCACTTCCATCATTAATCATATTTAAAAGTTATGGGTAGGAAGTAGTACGGTTTCGGCAACCCAAAACGTATGAGCGTAAAAAAGGACTAACAGATTGCAGACAAATCCCCTAAGCCCTGTCTAGTCTGGCACAATTCGGTACCACTTTATCCCACGTTCATGACAGCAAAAAGCCGATAGGAAGCTACGACCGAATAATTTCCCATCTGCTTTGCTTGTGCTGGAACGCAAGTGGAACTTTCCTTATGGAAGTGGTGTTCGACAGTAAAACAAGCATATAAATAAACCAAACGACAAAGGAGATATTTCTTAAAGACAATTTGCACAATGAGTTGCGCCGACACACAAACTAGATGGGCGTGCGAAAAAAATAAGCTATTTAACAAGGGAAGTAACGAATGACACCAAACTGCTTCCCGTTTCCCATTTTGTTCTTCTGATCATTGCAGGCTTTATGCAAACAAACTAGTATGATTGTATAACAATAAAGCAACAGTGTTTTACATTAGTGCTACTTTCACCACGGATGATGTAACATATGCACTCCATCAACACTGTGCTGATGTTAGGAAAGTACATGATATACTACACGGAAACAATCACGCAAAGCAGCAAATCGTACAACTAAGTCAGCAGGTTCAACAATAGTAGACGCAAAAATAGGCACAAGTGGGCCTAATATCCACTGTTCATCGGACACTTAACCTAGTCATACAGTAGGCTCACGTTACATGACCCTTCGGGCGAACGAACACGTCTGATGGCACCGGAGAGCCGACTGTAATAAGGAAGGATCGACTCCTTTCAAACAATACATTAATTTATCTGTAGCAGCCACTGTGCACTGCTATTAGATTACATCTGAGAATGGAGCTAGTAGAGTACGTCGATTAAGTTGGGTGACAGAAAAGATTCTCAGCAGCACAATAATGGAGAACGAAACCTAGAGATGCAACCGTCTAGCAAGAAGTACGAAAATATATACATGAGTACCGGTATTGTTCAGCAGCACAGGCGAAAAACCACAGGTTCAACCAATATTACTCAAATTTTCGACTCAGTAAGATACGATAAGAATACCATGCGTCGAGTGATGTTGCAACGCAAAACAATATCCCTGATATATATTTGGAATTGCACGATCGCAAAGATATCTGATGCAGGCTAGCAAAAAAATCACTAAGCTGTAGTACTCTTTCGGTGCCTCACTGCCATGCCACTCAAGAGAGCACGAGGGCTGGGATACTGTCAGGCTGCCTAAGCCTACACTGGGGACGTCGAGGAGGAGGTCGGGTTCGAACTTTCCAGTTAGTAAATTCGCGTTTTAACCACTGAGCCATCTCCACATGCCATCTCATGCAGGCTATCGGGCAGTTATGAGTTCTTCAGGCTGCACATGGAATAGCACAGTGAGGATTTCCAACGCGAACACTAAAGACCATAACTTCAGGCACCCATTTTATGCCTGTCAATAAACGAAAACACCACGTTGACCGTCTGTACGAGACGACAACGAGATCGGATCAGGAGTGAGTCGCCTGGAAGTTGCTAAGTATACTCATCAGCAAAATACATTGGTGTGAACGACAGGAATTCTTCAACTAGATGTGTTACAAAATGACCACCTCAAGTTTCATTCATTTGGCCTTCGAAGTGGCGCAAGCTACGACTGTCTCATCGATTTTCACAGCTGACCTAATAGTGTCACATTTACACAAACTTTTCTTGGCCTAGGCTTGCTTAGATGGTACTTGGTCGGATGTTTTTTTTCTTTTTATCCATCTACACAGATTCCATCCGAACCAACACACATTTTGACCTTTGTGTCCGTCTCGCTGCGAAGGTCACCTGTGGCTTAGAGAAAAACAATACGTCCTGATCGTGCCGTTCTTTTACAATTCAATAAAACGCAGTGGGCTTACTGGAAAGTTCAAATTTAATTCATCATCAACATCATCATCGACAACATCATAGTTCAACCCTGACGCTTTGCTGCCGTACAATCCTGATTTATTGGTAATATAATTGTTCACTTGTAGCCCTTTTCGGTGTCTGGCTGCCATGCTAATCGAAAAGAAAGGAGGGTTGGAATACTGCCAGCCTGCCCTAGCCTAGACAGGAGAAGTGGAGATGCTGAGGTCTTATTAGAAACACAGAGATTCCGACCAGTGAATTCGCTAACCACTAAGCGATTCCCCCCCCCCCCCCCGATCATTTTGAAAGCCTTACTTTTGGAAAAAAATAAAAGCAGGCGGGGAAGAGACTTAGTGCTAGCCTACCACAATCATTCCGAGATGCCTAAACCCCCCACACTCATTCAGCCACTTTGGATAGAAACTGACAACAAGAATGCCACTAACATTGGTAAGCAGTCTTATCTTCCAGTGTCTCCAACCAGGCGCAATGGGGATCACGTGGTCCTTATCATGAAAGGTGAATCACAACAACAGAACGCAGACATTTCGTAGTCTCTTTCATACCCTTCCGCCAGGTCAAAGGTCGGTTACCATTACGCTTCCGAATCGGATACGGAAAGCAGCACTCTCCGCCAAACGATGGTACGTCATGTGCAATACGTGGCTTAACCAACGCAGCTTCTGGTGCTGGACGCAGTCTTCAATGGAAACTCCATCTTTCAGAAGAGAAAGCCCACTTCCTAATTGCTTCGTTAAGGAATAGCCGACACCAATCTACCCGAGCTATGGTTCTGAGACAACAGTCATCAGCCCTAACTGAAGAACCTACGAGGAGAGAGTTATTAATGGGAAAGGGAAGATGAAGTATATAAAAGAGGGAGATTCAATTCCATAATCTGCAGGCAGCTCACATAAGAGTAATAACTGACATTATCCGCCATTCGCACATAGCTGTGTTCAGAGTAATCTCATTCTCTACCGCATTCTAATTTCACACCTTTGAAATCGCATTGTTTCAGTCCATGGCAAGTTGTTGGAAAAGCTGACTACTTGAGAGCGGTCGACAGTTCTAACAGTTCAAGATCCTTGTGGGGAAGCTGATGAGCACCTAGCCAATAAGAGATCCTGAAGTGAAGAGAGGTGACAATTATGAAAGGGAAAGCTTCATCCGAACGTAAGTCCGCATTCAGGACCACTATCCTTCCGTTTATTGTCCGTGGTTGCGTAAAATGGAATCTAGTATGGGCGCTTTGAAATATCACCTCATGTGTCAAACCTGTGGTGCTTTTCAGTCAACTGTTGATTGCCGCAGTTTTAGTAACTCTGAAAATTCGCGTTACGGGTGCAAAGACAACCTTAACATGACTCAAGGAATAACGCACAATGCGGACAATTAAAAGGCACTAATCGACGAGATACGATGAGAACGAACGTTTCACGGGAAAGAATAGGCAACGAGGAAACCAACACTGATCTGCAGGTAAAACGAGGAGACAGCAGTGCTAAGACTAGTTACACAGGATCTATTAAAAAACGTACCGTAAAATTGACCAAAACAGACAGCCACTTGAGCATGGTCTTTTAGCACACGGTTCGTCAGCATGGCCAAACAAGAAAGCGAGGAGTCCACAACGACACGCCCTTGACGCTGGATCAGTCGGACCAAGTTTCGCTCAAGATCATGTAATTTGTTAAGCCTGAATAAATGTTAATCGGTACACCACGTAAACATTCGCGATATGATTGCCGAAACCCGTATCAATAAACTATGATCAAATTAGAAAAAGGACATCACCCCTGTGGATCCCAAAGTCCCATAGGAATGTTGAGCTACACATTCCAGTATCGTCTTGGTTACAAGATGTATAGACAAGAACCGGCACAGTCCTGAGGTGGTGGGTTCGAGCTCCGACGTTTTAGATTCAGCAATAAACTACATGCGATAAAGCCCATCAAGACCTTTTACCGATAAGGCATCCCGGTAAAACACTAGACGCTGGGGTTGTTAATAATCGCTTTGGTGTATTGCACTATAATACCTCTGCAAAATGGAACCTTATCAGCGGATGCCCGATGAGTGGTGCCTTCTGAGCAGAGGTAAAAAGAATATCTATCCCCTCTATGTTAGTTCTATCAAAGTCATGGTAATGTGGTACTTTTATTCCACAAATCCTATGCGTCTGATGCATCTTATGGGACTACATAAAGTAACTGGTGCATTAAGGGTAGACAGGCTACGTACGTTATTCCGTCAGGTAAGTCCAAGTCAGTAAAGCTGCTATCCACTTTGGCACCAGAAGTGAAAGAAACCAAAGTCATTTCAATCACGCTGATCAGGTGAAATAGACACTGAACGTCCATACTGGCGCCACCGCTACTGCTCACACAGGGCTCTGTCGGGGCCGTTTGACTCCCAGAGGATACAGCTGAGTTGTTGGAAGGCATCACGGGAGATCTATGTAGCAGATCGACAAAGAATTTGCAGTGTGAACGCAACAGGTTGGGTTTACAACGGCTGATGAGATGGAGACTTGCGAGAAGACACTGGAGTGTGGGAGGTGGGAGTGAAGTATTGGTGTGGGATTGGGGGAGTTTCTTGTGTTTCGGAATTTTCGTAGAGTGTTGCTGGGAAGAAGCTAAAATGAAGAGAACATGGCGGTCTGTGACGGAAGGGAAACAAAACCGTTACAACTAAACCCATGTACGCACAAGGCAAAAGGAAAGCGACAAAAACAGAAAGGGGTTCAACAGAAAACAACCGGTATCCGCTTGGTCATAACCTCAAGGCCGTAAATTCTGGTGGATATTAAATCAAGTAGGATAATTAACTGCTGAAAAGGGGATATGCTGAAGTCCCCCAAATAACAACAATTCCATCATCGACACGGCAAATCATTATAATCCTTTCGATTCCCAATTGCCCCTCAAAGGGTACCACAACCCCGAAAGTGATAAAATAAGTTGTTGTTTCTGGAGAGAGAATAGGGCGAACAAATCGAAGGGGAGAGGAGAAATCGTCGTATGATAGAATGGGTTCCTTCCGTCTTGACTCTTTTTAAAAGTGACTTATTATTACAGAGGACGGCCTGCACAACAACGCCCGATCAGCAGTCAAATGAAATGGATTCCATTCGTCACCCAAATCAACCAAACAAGACCAAGCGACCAGGCAGGAATGACAGCTCCAGGGTAGGGTGCGTTCATTCATAATTGAACATTGTGGTGATAGGATATTTGTAGCGGACCCAGCTTTATACAGTTGTCCCCAATCACTGCGATCGACAGTGGTGTGCAATAAAAATTGAGGTGCACTGCTATGAGAAAAGAACGGCTGGATCCCAGTGAATTTCGATCTCACATTATCCGTATACCGGAGGCCCGTTCATTCGCAAAAAGCTACGTAGGTCAACTTACCGGTACTGACCACTAATAAGTAGATAAATATAGAATGGCTGATGGTTTGTCTACGGAGCTTGGTAACTGCATCTCGAGCGTTTCGTCGCTAACGTAACCGCAAGCACGATGCACAGATCTACAACCAGGCGGTGAACCTGAGCCATTAGTATGCCGTAAGAAAGGATCACATGACTACGAGATACAGGTATCATATCATATAACTATCATATGATGTGTCTGCACGACGGAAAAGTTCCTGTTTTGACCAGGAATCCACCAGTCCAGCTCGATTGGCGGTTATCGGTAGTAAAACGACTCGACAGGGTATCAGGAAGGTCAGATTCCTGGAAGCATATGATGTGTACGACGGAAAAGTTCCTGTTTTGACCAGGAATCCACCAGTCCAGCTCGATTGGCGGTTATCGGTAGTAAAACGACTCGACCGACAGTCAGGAAGGTCAGATTCCTGGAAGCAACTGCAGAACGCCCGGAACCTACTGCTCCACCAAAAACTCAACTGGAAAGCCGGCAAGCGTCCAGGCCAGTCAATCATTCAATCAATTCACCAAAACCTAATGAGTGTTCTTGCGGCCACAGAAGCACGACCGAATGTGATTAGCGTTCAGGCTTTTCACAGAGGCACGATCGATGCTGATGGGTGTTCATTAACGCCTATCAGAGAGCCTGGATCACTGTCAGAAAGTCCCCTTTAAATAGCGTGGGGCCGTTGTAACTTTTGCTCACGCTCTCTCACTCACTCGCTTGTTCGGAATACAGCTGTTGTGTTCCCTTCTGTGAGTCTTTTCTCTCCGACACTAGGCACTGGAGTGGGTCAGCAGCAGATACCACAGATTGACGAATCAGTAGATATAACAGATTGGCGACGCCCGAACCCACAGAATCATGACAGTAACTGCTGAAGCGTTGAAAGAAATCCTGCTGCAACAGCAAAACCAGTTTGAAGCCGCACAATTACGTTTAGTGGAAACATTGATGCAGCAACTGAAAATTCAACCACCAAATTCTGCTCCAGATACAAATTCAGTCGACTCGATTGCCAACAGCATCACGGAGTTCCATTATGACCCTGATGCCGGCCTAACGTTCGATTCGTGGTTCAGACGTTACGAAGATGTTTTCCGAGTCGAACTGAAGCACAAAGATGATGCCTGGAGAGTACGCTTATTGCTCAGAAAGCTTGGCACAACGGAACACACACGATATTCCAACTTTATCCTGCCTAAGAACACGCGAGATCTCAGTTTTGACAAAACCGTGCAGCAACTTTCAATGATTTTCGGTGAGCATTCGTCCTTGTTTAATATTCACTACCAATGTATGAAACTGGTGAAAACGGAATCTGAGGATTACATCACTTATGCCGGTAGAGTCAACCTTGAATGCGAACAATTCAAGTTATCTACCATGACAGAAGACCAGTTCAAGTGCCTTATTTTCATATGTGGTCTTCAGTCGAATTCAGACAGTGATATCAGGGGGAGACTATTGAGCAAGATTGAACAAACTCCCGAGATAACGCTGCAGTCTATTACTCATGAGTGCCAGCGCCATGTTGGAGAAGCCCTTATGCAACCCTGCTTTCAACATCGCCAAGACGACATCGAAGCAACCTCCTGTGGTGACACAGTCGAATGGAGCAATGCCTCCTTCAGCATGCTGGCAATGCGGCGAATGGCATTTTGTGCGATTGTGTCCATACAAAAAGCACAAATGTTCAGTGTGCAATCGACGTGGGCACAAGGAAAGCCAGTGCCGGACGCGGAAAGCTAGCCAAAGACGCAGTCAACCCCGGAGGTCACGAAGCAAACGGAGCCAATCAGAACCGGAAGTCCGTGCTGTGGTGTTGGAGACCATGAACCAACTACCCGTGACTTTTGACGCGATGTGAGATGCCACCAAAAATGACAGCATATTACAAAAGGCAATGGAGTACCACCAATCAACCTGGCCAATAACCAATCCACCAGGGGAACTCCGGAAACTTTTTCATTATCTGTTGTCAGTGGCTGTCTTCTCTTTGGTGACCGAATTGTCATTCCCACCGAACTTCGTCAACGGATCCTAGCACAGTTCCACAGTGGACATCCAGGGATAAGCCGAATGAAGGCTCTTGATCGCAGCTATGTCTACTGGCCCGGTATAGATGAGCACATTGAGCAGTTATGTCGGAGTTGTTTCCGTTGCGCAGCTGTCCAGAAGTTACCCAACCGACAGTCACCTCAGCCACAGCCAGAAAAACCATGGTCGCGCATCCATGTGGATTTGGCCAGACCAATTAACGGACAAAGCCTCCTCATCGTTGTCGACGCATTCAGCAAGTGGCCTGAAGTCTTTATTATGTCGGAGACAACAACGATGGCAACCATCACTAAACTGCGACATTTGTTTTCAATATTCGGTATCCCGGAAACTGTGTCCGACAGTGGTACTCAGTTTACATCCCACCAGTTTAGCGAATTCGTTCGAAGACACGGCATCACACATGTTACTTCTCCACCATTCCATCCCCAATCAAACGGTCAAGCTGAACGGTTCGTTGACACCTTTAAACGTGCGCTGATAAAAGCAGAAGGGGAGGGGACCACGACAGAAGTGCTGGATATGTTCCTGCTGAACTATAGAGCAACCCCTAATCCACAGTCTCCGGACGGTCGCTCTCCAGCAGAGGTTCTGATGAACAGACGGTTGAGGCTTACCCATGACGCTATCCTACCAACACGTAATTGCTTTCAATCACCAACAGAAGGAAAACCAACATTCCGGCCTGGCAACCATGTGCTTGTGAGGGACTATCGCCCCAGGCACCGAAGATGGACTGTTGGAGTCGTCCTCAAAAGAATCGGCCAGGTGATTTACAGCGTCCAGGTTGGATCGTTGATATGGAAATGACATGTCAATCAATTACGGCCGACTGAGTGCCAGATATCAAAGGCGGAAGAACAGCTACTAGACCTCAACCTACTGCTTGAACCCTTTGATCTCCCAATACCAGCACCCATAGCCACCGCCTCGCATGTACCGCTCAATACAGATCTATTGCTGCAACCAAGACGCCGTACTGGTCGCATCAGAAAAAGGGTGGAACCCCTACGACTTGATCCGCGTCAAAAATCTTACGTTGAACAGTCAAAAGGGGGAGGTATCAGGAAAGTCAGATTCCTGAAAGCAACTGCAGAACGCCCGGAACCTACTGCTCCACCAAAAACTCAACTAGAAAGCCGGCAAGCATCCAGGCCAGTCAATCATTCAATCAATTCACCAAAACCTAATGAGTGTTCTTGCGGCCACAGAAGCACGACCGAATGTGATTAGCGTTCAGGCTTTTCACAGAGGCACGATCGATGCTGATGGGTGTTCATTAACGCCTATCAGAGAGCCTGGATCACTGTCAGAAAGTCCCCTTTAAATAGCGTGGGGCCGTTGTAACTTTTGCTCACGCTCTCTCACTCACTCGCTTGTTCGGAATACAGCTGTTGTGTTCCCTTCTGTGAGTCTTTTCTCTCCGACACTAGGCACTGGAGTGGGTCAGCAGCAGATACCACAGGTGGACGAATCAGCAGATACAACACAGGGACTCTAACAGCACCGAAGGAATCAAGCCAGTGGACGATCGCACTCAATTAATATCGGTTAGTTGAGGTATGAAATACGAGTATGGAAAGGCAATAAAGACCATGCACAGTAAGTTCTGGATACACGACTATTCAAGATTTACCTATGACCGCGACGAAATACCCTAAACAGAGTCCCATACATAAAAAGCGATTCTAGTTGATCCTCTTTCTCCCTGTACTTGGTATCCATGGCATCAAACAAGTCCAGTCAATTCAGTAACCCTAGAGGAGTGACTATAATTCAGAGACCATGATATGTTTTGGGAATTATAACGATGCAAAAAGTAATGAATGATCGAAACTGAATCGACCCGATCAATAACACGGTAGATGCAACTTCTGTTAGTTGATGTACCGTGTGTACTGAAACCGCTACTGGACTTGACGGTATGAAAGAACCGAGTGTATTGCAGGGACGGTCGTCGAGAAACATCCGTCATCATCTCCTAGAAAGCACTCACAACAAAATCGTTTCGATAGAATCGAACATTTTTGTGGCAACCAAAAACGCACCAAGAAATGCTGTAAGATCGTACTCACAGAGTCGTTTGACCAATAACAGTAAACGATCAACCAGCTGAACACAAGCTGATTCCAGAAGTTCTTCTTTAGTGGGATCCGAGGTGGTAAGTATCTGTAAGATGAGAAAACGCAGTTGATGAAAAGCGGTTTCAATTAGTGTAGCTTGAACCTAAACTAGCATTGTTAAGTAACATCACCGAGTATCAGCTTTCACCCACTGAATGCTTTGGGCTGACAGAAAACCGTACTGAAGGCTACTGTCGTTGGGACACAACAGAAGACAATGTGATGACAAAACTATAAGTGAACCAGATCCGACAATACAGAAACTAGAAGTCGAGTACCAGAAGAAAAGGACCGAGAAGCCGGAAAATTCTCGATGAGCGACGTTGATAATTTAGGATGGATAATTCAGACTCCCAAGCGGTTAATTATAAATGAAATAATACTAGAATCGTAATCAGATTGATATATGGACACTGGCAGGTAATCCCGAAGCAAGCAGGAAACACTCTAAATTCAGTTTTTAGCCAAAACATGTGCATGTTTGAGGCCAATCAGTGAGGAAGTGGACCGGCAGAAACTGAACTAAACTAACTAATTATCACTTTCCTGGACATCCGAGTCACTCCTAAGTGTGATACTATGGAAATTTCAAATGATCAACAAATGAACAATCAAGTAAACAACAATACCGAGCTGACTATCTATGGTCAGTAAACATACTGACACGAGTGAGGTGCCTGGGGTTAAGATGTGTCGATTTCCGTGTCTGTACAAACCGTACACCCAACAGAATCCAGAGAACAAGTGAGGACAGACGACTAATGGGTAAAGAAACCAACGACAACAGGAAATGCCACCAGTATCAAGCTATAAACGGTGTTTAAAGGTTTAAACTGTGACAATTTCGTCCATGCGTGACAAGAGAAGTGGGAATGGATAGCTACAGAGGCGATTACGTTGATGGTAATTGACGTCTTGTTGCTGGGGTGGAGAGGAGGAACGTATATACCTTGAAATTATATGCTACATGGTTGTAAGATATTGGGTGTGCGACCGAGTAATGTGTGTGACCATTGATATGAACCGTCCCGGAGTCCCCATCCTGGGAGAAAGCAGAACTGCAGCCGAGTTTGATGCCCATAGTTATGGTACCTGGTCGTTTCGTCAGTCAACAGGAGAATTTATAGGCCGCAATGCAACCGACCTTGTAGCGAGCGAGAGACTCAGTCCAAGGTTCGGCTACCGATAGATCCGAAGCATCGAGTAGCATTCAAACCCACACTGATCAACCCACCCACAATACATAGCCCATTTTGACTGAGGGACGTACTTTGTACAGCTGAATTGTGATTCGAAGGAAGTCAGAAAACAACTTAGCAAGATAAGATGAAATCATGAATGAAAAACCCTTCTGCTGGGGCATGCCGGTTGGGGTGGGTACAGTCAGCAGAAAAGAAAGGTAAGCATTACCACGCCAATCGGTCCAACGGGTTCCTATGACAAAACTAGCGCATTAAGGCTTTGTTGTGAAAGAAATTGGACGAGAAACCTAACGATGGCATTGGATACTTCAAACTGGTGCAAGTTAACATTCCTTAACGCTACCGTCGATGGACAGAAACTGACAGCCAGGAACAGTAGGCAATGCCACATATATGTTTCACAGCCACCGAAGTTGAATTTTCCAGTATATATTTCAAAAATTCATTTTAATCGGGATTTCATCCTAAGAACGCTGCAAATCCGGGAAAAACAGTACGGTCGTTTCATCGGTTGGGGCTCAAGAGTACAGGCCTGACGAATTTCCATATAGCTTCGAACCGCGACTTCCGGCAAGCAGCTGAAGACTGCACCATTCAGCCATGAATGACTACTCAGCGTCGTGATAAACCTACAGATAAACAAGGCGGGGTCAATTTTCTCATACCATCATCAACTTGAACGTATTTCATTCAGAAGGGAAAACATCTCCAGTCGTATAAGCCTTAAAACTGTGAAACCAAAACCTGGGAAGCTAATCAAAGCGTGATCACATAGTGTGAACCGGGTTTCTAAGGATGCGTTGCGCTATATCCTGTTTAAATTCAAGTTAGTCACACTGGTAATGAGTCACTCATGGTAGTCTTCAACCACCAGCTCAGATGTGGATTCGAATAAACCGAGAAGCTCGGGAGCGGCGCACTGATGAGGACTGTCCACAATGAGCAAACACCTATACACAGCACATACTGGTCCCACCTTGAAGACACTAACACTGAACACTTTATTGCACACTCACAGACTATGAACTTAACAAGGGTTATGGTTGGTTATGGTTCAGTTAACTCCTCATCAATCCAGTAACCCAAAGGTGCGAGTCGAGACCATTTGTACGACCATGAAAGACTCACTATCAGTCTCTAATGCCTGTTGGGTCGAAGTGCTCCTGGGGTGTTCGAGTACGCAGACGACATAACTCTTCTGGGATTTGACCTCGTGGCAATGCAACCAATATTAAATAATCTGAATAATCCCGCCTTACGGTTTGGAAACGTTTCACGCCGGCAAAGTGTAAAGTGCTACCGCAAGACTGGGTGGGGTGGGAACCTGACCTCGTGCTTGTGGATGAGCTGATTGAGGTAGTAGACAAATTTGTATACCTGGACAGCTGTATTAGTCCCCGTTTATATTTCCATCAGGATTGGGAAGGCCAGAGCAACTTTTGTGAGCCTGTCACCCGTGGCGTAGGCGTGACATCAGTTTATCCGTCAAGGGTAGAGTTTACAATGCCGCGGTACGCTCCATATTATTATATGGCCACTGCACCCCGAGGACGTCAAGACTTTCTGTGTTGGACCACCAATGTCTTCGGAGCATTGCCCGAGTCTGGTGGGAACATCGGATTAGCAATGCTGAAGTACGTCGAATGGTATTCGGAAGAAATAACACACCCTCGATAGATGAACTGACTGCAGTGCATCGGTTGCGCTGGCTTGGCCACGTGCTTCGCATGCCGGTCGACGATCTCCTCGAGGGGTTCTTTCGCACAACCACGTGAAGGTTGGAAGAGAGCCAGAGGCGGCCAAACAATGACTTGCCAGCGAAGTATAAAAGCCATTAACAGCGAACTCAGCTATTCTGGTAACTGCCGTCTTCCTGGATGAGGATCTCGAGATGGGCCATATCAATAGTTAGAGACATTGTCAGACTAGGTCTAGTCGCGCCCTCAATAGCGTTCATGCATCCAAGCTAATGCCTTCAACGCATAGCTCCCTTCTCAATTTCCCCCCTTAACAGTCCACCGACAGTCCTGTATTTACGCATCAATTCATCAGTTTCAGCCTCCAATGTGCGACTACCTTCCCCACTTCTCCAAATCACCGGTGAACGAAAATATGGCCGCTACAACCGCTGTTCTTACAGCTGAACATGATGATGATGAGAGCAACATGAAGCAAGGCAGACGATCTGGAGATAAATGGGTAATTCTCGAGCGACCGCCAAACATGGTGTGATGGTATTTACGCGTTACAACCGCCAGCAACAGCAGGAACAGCAAGGTACATAGAGAACAACATTAAGCTTGAATTCTTCAAACTTAGATCTCCATTTGTTGGTAACTATCCCGTTACCAACACTGGTCATTCACGTCTAAGGTATTTGATTCCACGGTCAACTTTGCTCACACTGGAAAAGTTGTGCGGCAGCACTTAAAGATGCAAGGTGCACCCCAAATGAACTGGCGACAGGAGTGAGGTCAATATATTTGACTTAATTTGCTGGTATCTAGGCTAAGTATCGTCTGCATATTCTAGGTGTAGCTAAAAACTGAGAATAGTAAATATGTGGTAGGCATGTCCTGTAACCAGTTCTCTTGGTGAGCTAAATAGCAATGGTAAACTATAACCCGGACAAACATCCTGTTGGACACTGAAATCACATACATCAATGGGTTAGGACTCAGGGATCAATGTACCGTGAGAAACGAACAGTATAGCTTCACCATGAGTGCGGAATCACAGGACAGTGTAGTTGACTAATTTTAATGCGGCCCGAGGCTTAATTAGTGCCTAAGTAGTAAAGAAGTGCCAAACAGTCTACAAGGAAGTTAATAAAGTAGCCGATGTCCCGATTTTTTCCACATGAATAATGTTAGCACATGTCGAAGTATCCGCACTGCAAAACACTCACTTAGGCAAGATCCTCAAAAACTGACAATGACACGTGACTTCGGTCAGAATCCATGACTTAACGTGTTAGAGAATCGGTAGGTTTAATATCATCTCACTGAAAACTAACCTGCTTGAGAAAAGCCTCCAGCATATCAAAACTCCCAGAGCGCAAAACGGAGATGACTCCGCTAAGGCTCGTGATACGACGATCCAACAGTTTCGAACAGATTATATTCGAAGACGGAATCGGAGTGAACCATAGGTTGTGGAAAAGTTCGATGACGAGTTTCTGAAGATTGTGAGTGATGTGACACGCACGATACAGTTAACAAAAAAGCTAGTGAGAAAAAATGACCAGCTGTTTTCGAACAATAACGGTACATATGAGAAGCCAAATAAGTGAGTCATGAAATGGTGCCAATGAGCAACATCACTAACAAGTGAATGCGTGGAAATCAAAAACGCAAGCAGTGCTTCGGTTTGCGATAGGAAACACCATAGTGGATCTTTTTAGATTTTATTCCTTCAGATACTGCGGCTAGTGAGCTGTTCGCACAGGTGCTGCATATTCAAAGCCTGTTGAAATGTGGAAGGATCGGGTACCAAAAAGAGGTGGTCTAATAGAGGAATTCCCCTGTATGCTAAAGAAGCTTGTTCTACGTCCGTTCAGAGTAACCGGTATGTTAATACATAAATCCAACAAGGTTTGGAACTGATCAACACGTATTACACTGTTCCGGGAAAAGAACTTGAGAAGTCGGATTCCGGGTTATTTACTCCCAGATTCAAGATAGATCACTCATTAAGAAAACTGCCTATGTTCTGCATCGACCCATATCCGAAAACAAGTGCGGCACCTTGAGAAACAGCTGTACTGTACTGGAGGAGTTGGTCATATAGCAGCAAAAAACTACAGAAAAAATCCACACCCCTAGTGACAAAACCGGGGTGGAATAATTAAGCGATTTATCAAAGTAAAGTTTCACGAGAAACGACGTACTGGTTTGACCTTAGTGTGGCTACAGGGGTTCGAACTTTACTATGAGCGCACTGTTGGAAACACTCGCACATAAGGATACCTTCGTTAAACCGGTGCAGAAATCATTGAGGGGCGTCACCAACAGGAACTACCATTGAGGAAACATCTGGTATCTGTGACACTGTGGAACGTTTGTTGTAATGAGGTATATACCTAGTGGGATCGAAAATCGAAAATAAGGTACGGATAAAAGCCCTTGAATTTAGCACATTATCACTCTCACATTATTACGCCCGCAACTTAATCACTGAACGCCCATAGAATGCGCTACTCTCTAGGCTGAGGGCTGGTAAATGACTTGGGGAGTCAAAGCGGTTTTGGCTTCAGTCCCACAAAGGTAGACGATTAGTCGTTCTATCAGTTATAAACCATGCACCGTAGACACAATACTCTCAGTTGCTTCAATTCCTATCGCCGGAAAGTGGGAGAGGACGGGAGATACGGCCAAGCCTTGGCAAGTTCATTTAGTTCAGGAATTAGGTAGCTACGCATCGAAGGTGATAGCTTTGATGCAAGAGCGCCACTAACTGCACGATTGGACAACCTTGATCAAACAATTCGGTAAACTAGGCAATTAATTATGTAGATAAGTTACGTAAACTGAAGCGTGCTAGTTCTGCATATCAAGTCAGCTTTCTTGTTGTGTATGAAGGCAGGCACACAAACGACTGATGAAGAAAAAGTGTAGAGGGGTACGACAGAAGCGCAACGTCATATGCCAGTCAGGCACTGAGGGATTTCAGGTTATTGCGAAAGCAGCGAGTTCCACGCATGAAAAAGTTAGTGCCCTCTGGAGACACGAAATCAGTGTGTTTGCCCACGGCTAGTGCTCAATTCTGACAAAAGATAAGGTCTGAAAACAGCTAAAAACACCAAAAACGACTCGATGTAGCACCGTACGGCATAAGATCCACCGCAAACGCAATCATGAACGTTACGATGGAAATGGAAAGAAAACACTTCTTGAGCATAAATCATCGATTAACGCCAAATGATTTAACGATAAGTCAAACCCAAATGGTTCCTTTTTAGCAGCCTGTTGATGAAATAACCACGATACCTTGTGGCTCAGTGGTTACTGCGCGAATTTACTGGCCGCGGTTCGAACCCAACCTCTGCATTTCCGCATCTCCTGTCTAGGCTTGGGCAAGCTGGCAGTATCCGAGCTCTCGTGTTTCCTTCGGGTGGCACGGCAGCTAGGCACCGCAAGGTTGTTATTAATATTATTCAGTTAGGTGCCAAAATTCATAAACAGTATGGTAACGATCACACGACTACTTATCAAGGAACATAAAATAAGGACCGAAAGAGCTAAGATCATCCAAGTTGCCCCATTATAAGCCGACGAAAATGATTACAAAAAACAGTTCATTAACCTGGATAGATTCTTCATCGTCGTGAAGCCGACGAATTAGTTTCAGGCACATTTCAACACCATGTTGTCGAGTTAGCAAAACACCTTCCTTGTAGCGGGCTCGACGGGAGGCAGAATCAGACCCTTCACCACTCCAATTAACGGTTAGTAGATCACGGAAACAACGAATTGCGCGCTTCCGTACACTAACACCCTTGTCCAGCACACGTTCAGCCAGCATAGGATAGTATTCGGACAGCAGCCTAGGTCGGACAATTAACAGCCGACTGACTAGATCAACAGCTGCTTCTCGAACTGCGGTAGAGTTGTCCAGTAAACGCGCGTGCACCAAACGAGGTAAATCTCGAAGCCATGCAGGCACTCGCGAGACGTTGTCACAGACCTCACTGGGTAGTTTAGCCGCTGGACCGGCGAAGAGATTCGGATCCAGTTCAACAGTGGACGCTAAGCATCGCAAAGCCTTGGTGCGTAAAGGTACGGAAGGTTCACCAACAAGCTGAAACAAGAGAAGCAGATCGATGAGGATTTCTATTATCAATACCGCTCACTCTGAAGAAAGTTCGCGGCATACAGTCATATGACGTCTAGGTAATGAGTTGAATAGTGTTTACCTAAGCGTAAATGGATGTGCAAACTACCGAAGTACCTTCTGCAAACAAACGTAAACAGACAGAGAAGCACAATCTTAAGCGCAATACACTGAGTTAGAGCCGAAAGGCAGTCCAAGCTCGGTCGGATAACCAGGAGCAGCCACAAAGACCCCATTGAATAAACGTCGCATGGCGGACCCACAGGATATGAACAGACCTCATGTACTTCCTGATTATTGAGTTCACGAAAGGTTACCGTAAAGTCATCTAGATTCATTGATAAGACATTGCACTGATACCTATGGCATTACAAAGCGGAGTGCAGCGACCCATCCACAGTGGCCGCCGGGACAAAGGACATTTAATCTCCCTTGCGGACTCCCAGAGTGGCCTCGTCGAAATCGGACACGGGTAAACGAGTGAATCGACCGAAATACTTGTAATGAAGAACCATGATACAAGCCGATTAAAGCTAGTACATAGGTATCTGGATGAGAACAAGCTGTTCCACCGGAAAGCTATCAAAGAAGGAACTTTAGACCACAATGCACGTGACTGTATGATTTGGTCAGCCATGTCTGTCGATGACATTACCTACCTCACCGAAGTGAGAGGGCATCAACTCTGAACCCGACTGACCTTACCAGCTAGGGTCCTTATCACTAGGTCACTGACTTCCCACCTATCATTTCCACGCCCGGGCCAAGATATCTTTTCGAAAATACAAGAGGCTCCGATTTATCCAGAGATACGTAACCTCAAGGAACCGGGCTGGGAAAACTCACCCGACATATGATACCAAACAGTTTCTCGAATCCTGGAGAAATAGGATGTGTCAACTGCAATTTCCGAGCGGACCAGTGAACATGGGCGGATAGACGAAGACGATATTGCGTATTCAAATGGCGGGTATGTGCCTGGTAGACAAACCGTTGTGCAGACGCGTTCGGTGCCAGCATAGAACCTCCAAAGGCAACAGTTCTGTTTGGGGTTGAGCAGCCTCCACTGCGATAGCCACCAGTCCCAGAACGACTGTTGGGGCGGCCGCCATATGTCGGGCTGCTTAGTGAGCTGCTTCCAACAACTGCACTGCCTGACTGTCGGGATCCAGTAAGCCATGGAATCGAATTTGGAGCGGTGTGATGAGTCATCGCCAATTCAGATAACAACTGGTGTCGAATCTGTTCGAGTTCCCGTACATTCTTTGTCACCGAGCGCGAGTCAGGAGGTGGTTTGCTGGTATTGCTTGCGACGTCGCCAAGTTCGCGAGTGCAGTCAGACAGCCAAGACGCGAGATAGAACCGTTGAGCTGTCTGCAATTTCATAAAAAATCACATGAAACTACTCAGCTACAGGGCCTGTTCGGCAAACAGATGCTACGCAACTTTTAGGAAGCAAGGAAACCACGGGGCAACAGTCACCCTTAGACCAAGACAAGCAAATGATTAGTGAAAGCAGGCGTCTCCCAGCCATTGGACAGTGTAATGTCCGCTTTCGGTCTTCCTTGGAAGCACGTCAGTGACGCTAACCAACATGCAGATTTAAGAAGATTCAACAGTACAAAAACAGAACTACTGAGTCACTAATACTTGACAGTAAAGCAACCGTACTCGGATTGCTCGTAAAAAAATGCCCAATAAAGAAACGAATTACACAGCTACATACCAGGATGAGACAGTCGGCATACTCCAATCGTATCCACTTCATTATTTCGTCGTGCAGTTGACGCAGTTGCGTTCCTGTAACACTAACCAGACTGTCTATATTAGATGGAGTTACTCCGGGCTCAAGAAACCAATGATGCATCACAGACATGGGGGACGAGAGAAATCCGACAAGCTGTGTTTGTGCAACAGCATCAGCAATACGGGAGTCAGTTTCCCCGGCTACAGAATTTCCATCAACATGGTGGTCCGGGAGGCCACCCTTGTTAATACGGCCAAAAGCGAAGGAAGAGGTGGGGAAATTTCGCTTCAATCCAATTGCGAGAGTTGTCAGAGTATCCAAATAAATCAGCTTCGAGGTTAGATCTGAGTTGCGCGACGCACCTGCCGAACAGTTACTAGAGCTGTTTTGGCCAAGATGTTGCACGAGAAGACTGCTGAGAACGCTGATGAGTGTTGGAGCCACGGGCCACTCTATTACAGCCGATGTCGCAACCGCCAACAAATCGCAAGTTACCGTTTCAAGCACCGGTCGCAAGTCAAGTTCAGTCCGTGAACAAACGCTGAAAGAAGTGATAATGCAGTGAATGTTCAAAACCTGGAAAAATACTGAGCATACTGATCGGCCGAAAAAAAGCCTAGGTTATCGGACGAACACTAAAATGGAAACAAAATGAGGAACAAGAGGAAAAGGCTGTGCATAAAAGAAACCACCAAAAATTTTTTACGGAACTGTCCAATCTGGTGATAACACAAACTATACACGATACCGAATGGAGAAAAGAATGTTTAGAGTCTTTACCTCTGAAATAATGAAAACAGTCTAGTTCACTCAGGTTCCACGAATTGAAGTGCCCATGGTGCATTTTCGGATTCGTGAAAGTAGTTGAGTTATAGTTGAGTGGTCGGACAATACAAAAGCCGCAATTCAATGACGCTGTCGTCACAGCATATTCTGCTGCCCCGGATTGTATTACCAAGCCTTGAGAATCTCCCAAGACGACGGCCAGCATTAACATTTGTGGGATCAGAGCGCTTACAACGATAAAATAACTTGAACATCGACACGATTATCCGATGCAGGAAAACTACGCACTACTGAACCATGTCATCCATACTACCGGGTTTGTCTTCGTCGTTGCTTCTGCAGGGTTATAAAGCCAAGACAGGAAAGAATGTCAGTATGCAGGAAACCCATCTGGATATTGCTGGAAAGAACGTGCACCGTGGGATAACCATGGAAGTGGCCTAAAACTGGTATGACAAACAAATGATATAGTGCAACGAGAGGAACAATGTAACGAAGACGTCAATACGGTTACAGCCTGACAGAAGAATGCACAGTTGCACATTAGATATGTTGTAAAACGGCCTGAAATCAAATCGCAGTAATCAGAAGGCACCGGAAAGCGGAAAAATTACCTACCGTTTAAGTAAGCCAGAGAATAGGTATTGAGCATGTCGCATACACGTGCTGTAGCTGAGTAGGACTTGTTTCTCGTCCTTACAGAACTGACTATTTTCTCCAACTACCTGATGATCAGATGATGAACAGACCGACAACCTGCGTGTTGCACCTGTACTTGAACCACCACCGCCTCCACTAGTTGAGCTTGTCGGCGGCGAACCAGGTGCTTGTATCAGACTTTGGGTGAGGGATAGAAATAGTGCCGTTAGCGCATGTACGCGGAGGAATTTCTGATCGCTCACAGAACTGTCTCCTGTCCCGTTTGTTGAGGAAGTAGGATTCTTCGAATTTTTCGAAACCATGTAAAACCACTTTGACGACAGTAATCTGGAGACAGAATTCAAATGGGAAGAAATGACCGAATCTACCAATGGATACCTATTCTTCCGTTTTGAAGTAGCTCTTAGTAGGATCACATATGAAAGTAAATGGTGAGATCGTCAAACACCAACCTGCTATCCCAAAGAAATCTATTGTGTCTGGTAAAAATTTGTGGTTAAACTGTTGATGCGGCTTCTGAAGGGATCTTGGAATGTACGCCGACTAATGGAATAAGTGGATCGGCCTTACTTAGGTATATCTTGGACAACGTGTAAATGTTTTGGAGAGAACTATTCCAAGTCCAGATTATCACTGATCATCATAACCTACGATCAATTAGTCGACTAAACGTCGACTAGACGTCATTTTTTCACTGGCGATTTGCCTTCAACATGACCCCTTGGTACATTACGTCACTGCATCATACAGCTGCCCAGGTAAATAAATTTGTCTACCACCTCAATCGGATCATCCACAAGCATGAGGTTAAGGATCAAACCTACCCAGTCTTGCAGCTCCACTTTAAAATTTACAGGTGTGAAGCGCATGCCGAACCGTGAGGCAGCATTTTTTAGATTGTTTAATATTGTTGGCATTGCCACGGCATCAGATCCAAGAAGAGTTGTCGACTGCGTACCGTTTATCCGTGAGCTGACGCCCCGGAAGAACTTCGACCCCACAAGCACTAGAAGCTGATGTGAGTTTTCCGTAATCGCACCAATGATGAAGTTGAAGAGGAAAGAGGAAAGACGACAACCTCGTCTGACACCACTTAATGTGGTGAATGCAGGCGAGAGATTCCCGTAGGTCGTAAAGCAACCGCGTGAGTTGGCGCGCAGAACATAAATGAGAGTTAACTATTTGTGGAGGAGACCTTGTCCGTGCTCATGCAGCATGAAACCCAGCTTGATCTCCTCGGGTCTGTATATTCCTCTGATCAGTCAACCGCCGAAGGATAAGACCAGAGAGCATCCCCGATGCGAATTTCTACCATGCTGATACCAGTGTTTTCCACACAGTTGGTGCTGGAAGTTCGTATTGGCTGGAAACAGTTCACATCACCGGATGTACCGAGAGTGAAACGTGAAAGTGCTGAGTTCGTCCTAGGGGTTCTGAGATGCATGACCACAATTTGGTCCTGTTTGTGTTTCAAAGACACAGCATATAACAACTTAATGGAGCTTAAGATCATAGCTAGCATTGCCTGTTCGCCAACTTGACATTGAGTACGGACGTTGAAAGCTCCTTTGTAGAAAGGATCTCGCGTATTTAGCATGGTGTTTTGTTTATTGTTAATAGGCATCGGGGTGCATAATGCCTACCGGTCAATTGATTGTGGTGGGAAAGGGTTGGGGAGGGACATCGGTGGGCAAGGAGCTGCGTGGGCAAATGACACTCCCCGGTTGCCCAGGGCGAGTAAGAAAGTTTGGTTGAGGTAACCAACTTGGGTCTCTCACTCAAAAGTTTGATCCTCGAGTCAACGGACAGTAGGGTTTTCTTTGGGGAGCGTGCCTGGAACCCAAGACTCAATAGTCTGACCTGCTCGGCAGCAGGAGGCTTACCTAACCTGAGGGCATAGGGAATAAGGCATTACTGTCTCACTACTGGGGCTGAACACAGCAAGTGCCTATTGAGCAGCGTCAGGCTCTTCAGTTTTCAAACTACTTCTACCATACTGAACAATGTACCGGCGATCACGGCCAAACATCCGGTCAACAAAGGGTGCGGGTGTTAAAGATGATATTCTCTAACCCGCCTTTCCTCTGGGGAAGGCAGCATCGCTGTTTTCAGGAATATGGTGATGCTGGCCTCTTGGGGGAAACACCTTACTGACTTCACATTTCTATCACATAAAACAGTGCGACTTCCGTCCCAGACCGCCTCGTATTACGATTACTCGGAGTAAAAGGTTCTCGCTTCCCTTAATCTGACTGCTCGCTTTGACCTTCTAGCACAGTTGCACCTTGTGGAACGCAGTTTAAACCAGTGTAGCCCGCTGGATTATTGCAGCACTTAAGCCTGACCACCACGTTTACAGTTTACAGCTTTAGATTTGGTCACTCATTCGGGTTCTTTTTGCTAGCAAAAATTCATCATCATCATCACCGAAAAACTCAAGGAGGACCGAATATTGGATTCACAAACAACGAAACAAGGAACTCCTTGGAGGCAAATCAATAAAGGTCACGACCCAGGACTGGAAAGGACAAAGGTCAATCTAGCACCGACCAGATTACGACGGCAGGGGATGCCAAGCTCATAGGTCACGTGGGCATCGGCGAATGGGGATACAGGACAACGGAGCAACCAATGGAGTCACCCGACCGAACAACTAATCGCAAGCAAAGGTCATCCCCTGCTAGCAGCACGTATATTAACACACGCACAACACTACCCAACGCACAACCACCAACCCACCGCTACGCACTACTACGCTCCACAATAACGCACTGATGATGTCACCTCGATTGGTGATGAAACGTTTGCAATCAAATTGCCCAGCTCAGCGAACAAGCCAACGACCACCATCTACGATACCTGAGCTACCAACATTTTCCTCTATAGAAAATCATCATCATCATCAGATTGCCTTAATTTTTGATTCGATCATTGTCGCTCAGCCAAGTTCATTCCCATTCCTTTGTCCAACCTCTTCAACTAACGAAAGTTGGGGAACGAGCTTGAAGGGGTGGACGGCGGATCGATGTCAAGCAGTTTGAACGTTTAACTCGCCTTTATATCAAAAACCTCTTCGGAAAGGAAAACTGCAGTGAAATGTGGTGTGGCAGCGGGACTTGCGCAAGCACTGGAATCGAGAAACTCAATCAGAAGTTCCCGGGCAAGCCGTCTTCTATGAATCACCCAGACATCCAACTCGGTCGATGGTTAGCCTTAGCTGGTAAGATTCGTAAATGTATTACAACCCAAACTCCAACTAAAGCTGTGATTACGATATGTTGTCTCCATTAGAACTGAAAGAATATGCGGACCTCTCCCATAAGCTTGCTGATATTCTTCGACTAATTTATGTCCGTATATCAGATATCTGATTGTTAGAGGTTCATACAGGAGGTCCATAGAGGGTATCTTCCTAAAAAAGGCACCCAAAACTGCGCTCCATCGCATTCATTTAAGCCTCTTGCAAAAATGTTATTGAGAAGGTTGGAGACAACAACATATCTGGACAAACTCCAGCTCACTTAAACACTCGCGCTCTAAGCTTGTTATACTTGACATACATTCTCTGGTCTCATTGGCACACACACCTGGTCACACCGGAATTGCGAATCCATGCACCAGGCATACTTCGCATCGCTCCTTAGGTGTATGTTAAGTTAGGACGTCAGAACAGGCAAATAGGTCCGTATTGCTTGCACGATGATTTGCGGGGCGCCTCGAAGGATGGGCCAGTAACTGTGTTGGTTGTAACTATCAATTAGATCGCCTGTTAGGACGTCTCAGTTTCGCATCAATCAATAAGCAATGGCATCCCTTTCGTGCAGAGCGGTCGTGTAACTCGAGAGAAGCGCTCGAAGACGCTCAAACACCGCCACAAATATCCACCTGAACTTCACAGCCTATTGACCACAATTCTGCCTAGTGGGATAACAAGTGATACCTGCTAGTACCTCTTATACTATTTCTACAGTGGGTCCAGTTACTCAGACTTACTTATTCATTCAAGCTACATAGACTTCTCAGTTCAATGTCTAACAAATCTCGCTTCTTCTGTAGTAAAATAGAACTGTCACGCACTTCTCAAGCGTCCGCGCCGTCACCTAACCAGGAAATCCTACGAAGCGATTCAATCGACTGATACAGGATAGTTACGAAGTCATCATTCGAAGCATCAGACAATAAAAACACTTCGCTCAGGTGGTAGATGTTCACCTGGTCTGGAGAGGACTGTTAGACTATGCTCATTTAAGGTACAAAGTTAAAATCGTTGTACGCCATATTATCATGTGGTCCGTGTACGGTACTTCCTAGGTTTAGTGTATTAAGGATAGAGAAATCGCTCGAAAGAGAATGACGTGGATAATAATGGCAATAGTGGTAGCGAAAATGAATAATAAGAATAAAAGCTCCAAGAGTCTCGCCAATTCTCAAGTGACATTTTGAATAACAGCGTCGCCTAGCTGGCCGAAGTAACCCCTCCTTTTGCAGGCCCAGTCAGTAGCGAAATACCTAAAAGATCTGCTTGGCACGAAGGGAAAAACAACATAGCCGAGATGTTATCAGAAGCCATTTTGGAGCAACCAGTTGACCTTCCTCAAGTTGGCATTCATTAGCATTTCTGGTATTCATACCACGAACTGAAAGATGAGAAAAGTTATGTCCCATGTAGCCGGATACTAGAACATGCCCTACCCTGAATGTACCTTGACAACACTTGCCGCATGGTTCACGATATCGCTAAGCTCTAGCGGGATATTTTATCGCTGGATAGTACATTTTGTCTGAAAGGAAGTCCACATCCTTTCTGCTGCCCATGATCGTCACACTGAATCAGAATGAATTCAAATTCTCACCATAACCCGACACCCTAAACTGCCAACAAGCCTTCGTTCGTTATGGACGAAAGGGTGACAAGTTCATTCGCATATCCACCGCACTCAAGAACTGTTAGAGAAGAATGACATACCAACCCGGGCACCCGCGCTAGGTCAATCCCCGAATCGAAAGCTAGATCAGTTAATCTTAAGGAAACGATCTAATCACCACGAATGATACTTCTATATACAACACAAATCCCTGTTGAGAATAACCTGTTCTGGAGAGTATTCATACCCATACATAACAGTGAAAACAAGAGTAACCAACCGGAAGGTTCTTGCAGTGGCTCGGTCATTGAGTGCAGGCGAATGCGTAGAATCCAAGGGTTTGTTGGCGGTCTCAGCTGATGACAATGGAGAGACATTCAGTAGGGTAGAAAAAATTTCATCAACTATCAGTTTACAGTGAGATTCATACTGGCTATACAACCCGGACAAGAGAGCGAGCGACGCGCGTTGCAAATGATTGGGCCAAACAAGCAACCATAATCGAGAAGCACCAGCGGTCGGTACATTCGTATTTTGGTTAGGAGATTTGGAGTCTGTAGCTGTAGCAGAAGAAACCACCAGCATCCGCTTGAACACCTGGGCTGACAATCGTTTTGGATCACGATCGACTGACTGTCCAGTTTTGAGACAATGTAAAGGGATCGCTAAAGAGAGGCCCGTCAGACGGATTACCAGGTTATCGGTGAACCGGCCAGGTTGGAAACGTACAAGACAGCTCAACACAGCTAGAATCTGGCTGACTCTATAGCCAACGCACTCGACAGTGAAATTCCACAGGGCTTTCGACGAGAGTCCGGATGTGCGATCAGCTGGGCGATCCACGTTAGACAATGCTGAGAAAGGAAAAGGTAGACAGAACCCTGAGTTGTGCATGATGGATAACCATGGGATGGAAACAATGGATGAGGAAAAGCAATTTGCGTTTACATCATCCTCCACCACACAAAGAAGAAGGCACTTTAAAGACTGTTTCTATGACTGAAAGTAAACATGAGTACTTTGTGTGTTCATGTGGATTTTATTAGGACCTGCTAGTTAGGACGAAGAAAAACTATCACATTTTCAGACAACAGAGTAAAAGGTACGGCAAAATAGGGTCTATAAATTATATGGTTTGGATTGTTGTTGTACCATCCAATCAAGCAATCATGCAACTATCAAACTCTTTCGGTACCTAGCAGCCATGCAACCAGAAGCAAGCATGATGGCTTAGATACTGCCACGTTGCCCAAATCTAGACAGGAGCGGTCGAAATGTCGAATTCGAATTCGAACCACGAAACTTTCGATCAGTAAATCCGCGTCCTAACCACTGAACTATCTGGACAGTGGGGAATATTTGAACATTGGATGCAATTATTGGTTTTTGTTTTATCCAGAGTTCAGTTATTGGTTCGGAAACGTTTTGCCATCATTCGAAGAGGCAGTCGTACACTGACAACACTTCCCAGAACGTTTGAAACAGATCGACGAGTAATGGTTGGATAGTTCTCATCGAAACCAAAAACTCTGAAAGTATCCATAGAAGAGTGGCGGATCATAAAAGGACTACCACAGCGGGACTTTCTGATCAGAAATTAGCCACTGTCGATACAAGCCAAAGGGTAATTCGTTCCCAATCTGTTGCTCCTCATTGCGTATGCACCTTTTATTATACGTTGTACGAAGAACTATAATCTAAGCACCTCAAGTCCTGCTTGAAGAAGCTACCTAATCTGAAGTTCGATCACAAGTAATGTGTGAACACCAGGTTCACATGACCCAAATACCATTTAACACAGGGTTAAAGCCCGACTTACGTAAGTAATCACCACCGTTGTGTACCCAAAACCCATTTAGTAAGTCAAACTCATTTAGTAAGTCCACAGCCGGCAAATTGACAGCATGGAATTCTGCGAGGATTCAGTTTTTACTGGTGAATCGACATGGGCTAGCCTATGGATAAGTACCTACGAAAAGCACACAGTCAAATATCAAGGAACAGTCGCGATGTTTGACTGTACATATCGTATAAAAGCAGTATGACCTTACCGGGAAGTTTACACACAACCCCGTCCAAAACATGTCTAACAATCGATACAATGCCCTCAACAAGATCCTCCATTAGCAATGGGCGCGGCATATCCGGGGCAGCAATGATGTTCAGAGCGATTCGCGCCGAATCCAAACCGACCAACACAGCTGACCACTCAGGGTTGGACCACAGCACCGACTCCGATATTTGGTCAGCTAAAGTTCTTCGACCACCTTCATACCGTTGTCTGTTTCGCCCCTCAAGGTAAAGAACCACTTCGTCCTGGAGAAAAAGGAGCATAGTAGTGGAGGACTAATGGGGCAATCACCTGATGAGAGCCTTTAAAAAACAATACTTGAGACTTTTATTGGGTGCTGTGCATGTAGTTCAGCCTAGTTTCTGAAACCGCGAACTGTCAGAGGTAAGCTCAAACAGACATTTCAAGCTCAACCGAAGGTTCGTACGAGAAAACTGTGCAATTCACCACCTTTAAGTCGAAAAATACGTTTTTCATATTAACTAGAAAAATTAAACCAATATAAGAGACGTTGAACGCCTTTAAAAAGTAAACATATATTCTAGTAGTCAATCAACGGTGTCCTGCTTGCCAGAAAAGTGCGAGTGTACGATGCTCACGTCTTTATCCGTGAGATAGCAGCACAACCATACAGACCAGAACGGGAAAAGCAAGTGTGACCTCACAAGCACACTCGGCTCCAGCTTCGATGGTGAAAATAGACCAGACTAACAGACGGCTTTCATGTTACCGTCAGTTATTGACTGGACTTAAAAACCGACCGAAAACACAACGCCCTAGCATGATTCACGGTTGTATTAAATGAAGTCGGCCGGTGTTGGTTCACTGGGTAAAAAAAAGCTGGGGTCTTCGAGCAGTTACCAGACGACGATGAGCTGGAATAGGTGTGCAGCGCAACTCTCCAAATTTCAACCGTCAAACTCACCCTTCGCCGCCTCCTACGAAGCAAGATGTAGAGCTCGCTAACAATAATGACACTGCAGCTACCTGAGCAATGGGCAATGAAACGACGATTGTCGCACTGACCAGTTCCAAGAGGACGGATTTAGTTGAAAATGAAGTCACTAACAATAACGACATAAATCGAACAGCTAGATACAGGGGAATCACGTTCATAAATACAGAAAGACTAACCACTAATCACTGATAGTTACTAGGAGAAGTGCAAAGTGCTATGTTAACTCGGTTCGACTGTTTCATGTATCTTAAAAAAGAGTACACCCTCATCATAAATAGGGAAGTTCCAGCGTATGCGTGAAAAGCAGTGACAAGGCATTCTCGTTGGAAACCGGCAATCGTAAAATATGAACCACACTGACAAATACATCGCCAATATTGACCTCAGAAACTGAGATCAAAATCCTAGACCCACGGTCAAGTGAAACCTATGACGTCAATTGTTGCTGTCTGATGCATTCACCAGGAAGGCCAAATTAAGTCACGAAAAAGTGACCTACAATGAATGTGAAAAGCTCAGAACAACACCCAGTACAAGAGAACTCAAAGCTGAAGTGACGACAAATAATGGCCAAAGATAATAATGATAACAAAAGAAAACTGCCCCTTTGAGGCAACCACTGCACATCCCGCATGAATACTATTACTCTGAAGAGCCATGAAAACGGATGGGTTGGGTATTGACACCAACTCACCGGTGATAGCGGCAAAAGGGAAGCATGTGCTCCAGCCTGCATGTTGACTAGAATTAGCGTGAGGAATCGTACAAGCCTGCCGGTCGGAATGGTGTACATGGATCCAGCGAGACGGACTTGCGCGGATTCCGTGTATAAGACATTTAGTTCATGGCGGCTAAGACGAACGGCATCTGGCACAAGATCCGCGCACTTGATTTCGTTTTCAAACTCGTCTCCACCAGCTGCAACTTTCGTCTTACGCATGTTTATATCATATGCCAGCTTCAATAGGTCTAATTCCTCCACACGTCGAAGAATTTTACCTAAACGTGCCGTGAACTGAGCCAGAACTGAAGCGGCGGTCACGAGATCATCATTGTGTATCTGTTCTACATCACTGTCATTGTCTGCCGAACCCGCATCGGGGTCCTCACCCGCAGAAAAAGCCGTGGAAATAGAGGAGAGTGGTGATAATTTGGAAGCTAAACACAATTCCGAACAACTTGAATCCACATCAGACGACTGGTCGAGGGAGGAGGGATTGTCGTTTTGAGCATTGTCTGGTTCATCATGGATTCTGTTAGGAGCACCAGGGGGTGTCCACATCGTTTCTTCTGGGGCGCTATCCTCCATTGCAGAACTGTGTGTGTATGGCAGAGTGCTCGGTGTCAAACAACGTTGATCAGATGTGTAAGATAGATCACGTTCACAAGGCACGGGTGGCGAACAAAGGCTGGATATACTATATGTCGACTGCTCATCACTCGGACTAGAAGTGCCATCATCGGAGTCTGTGATGCCTGGACCGGTGAATGGCATACTAGTGTTGGTGACAGTGGCATCAGCCCCAGCTGCACACTGATTGGAGGACTTAACCGGCACAGTAGGTAATGCGACAAGTCGCCGATGACTCTGGTCACCAGATGCGACGCTGGATAAAGCTCCAGTACTTGCAGCACAGGAGTGGTCGGTACCTTGAGTCTCAGGCAGTTTTCTTGGACGGCCTCGACCCTGTTTTCTAATTGGAGAAGGTGATGAACGCTTGCCGTTCAGTGAGCCCATCGATGTATCGTGATCTGAAATAATTCAAGGCAAAAATGATCCAAGATGAAGCAGTAACAAAGCAAGAGAATACATACGAATCTAGAAACTCGCGAAACGGTGAACCAAACAGCAACTGGAAAGTTCGCTGTTGGAAACACAACGAGACGATTGTTGTAATGGTTAACAAACTATGCAACGCGGTAATCAAAAAGGCATACAGGTGGAAAAGCATAAATAAAAACACGCAGCAGGAGGGCTTTTCATCGGATACTTCTCATATCCAGAAGACCAATCTAAGTGTTGTCTCTTGATGTGCGGTAGTGCAACTCTGTGTCGGTCCCTTGGCTTCCTGCTCCGCCCACTATGGTATAGCAAAAGGCACGGTAGCTCTACACAGCCCGTTATGGAGACAAAGGAAAATCATTACAACTGTATATATATAGGGTAGTCACCGAGTATTCCACAAGGTCGTACCAGAATGTCCGTGAGGGGGCGAGAACCGTCGAGTCAAGGTGCTTGACTCGGATTGGCTGGCATTCTGACCAATCAGGGAATGCCCACATCTGGCCCGTGTCCTGCACGTGACACATGCATCCAAATGATGTGATGTTCGGTTATTAGGGACGGCTGGCCCCCGAACACTACGAAAAATCCTACGATCTTAGGCCCACAATGACATTCGACTAAGGACAAACTGACACCTATTGACGTGCACCTTACATGCCAGTGGATGCCAATGGTATGATCGATCAAGACCGATAGTTCTAGAGCGGGTACCTCCAAAATAACGTAAAAACAAAACCTAGATATGCATTTCTTCGTCCCAAAAAACAGACTAGGAAGTGTTTGAGGTCTTACATTACTTTTCGGAGTATAAAGACAGTTGACCCAGAGAGAAAATTACCGTAGGTGCACCAGCGGGGATTGAGCGGACGCAAACAAGTTATTTATGTCAACTGAATAGGAGTTGCTACCTGGATAGCTGAGACGGACAAATAGGTGGAGCCACTATCACACTATTTTGTGGATGACTTAGCAGTTACGCAAACACATCACATGATTTGTAACACGGTAACAATTCACGAAAAATCCCAAACGGTTCGAAAAGTTGCAAAACTACGCTAAAACTGCATTTTATGTGACTTGTACGCGATGGGCTAACAGTGATATTAACATCAAACAAAAGGTCGGCCACTCAAATTCGGTGTAAAAAGCGGTCATCCAAGATCGGAAGTAAACAGGAAAGTAGGACCGAAGACGGTTTTTATCACTGATGTTTAACATTTCCTGAATTTTCGACGAATCGGTAAACACTGCTATTCACGAACAGCCGCTTTGGTAGCGACAATTTCGTACGTGGCTCGGTCGCGTAGCCATCCTGAAAGCGGGTGTTGCAAATTCGTACCAACAAGTTTTCTGTGCCCAGGGTAGTATTGCCGTCTCGAAAGACAACTAAGACCTCATTAGCACGAAGGGAAGCGATTTAGTCACAAGAGAGCATACTTTAATCAATGATGGGGTCCAAACTGCATGGACCAATTTCTCATTGAAGTGTATGAACAGCAGCAGAGCTATTTGTGAAGCCGAAGAAAAATAATGTAAAATTAAGGGAGTGATTCGACCGGCAAGCTATCCTCTATTAAAACGAATCAACCACCGTGGAAAAAATCAAGGTTCCAAAGAAGGCTGCACAACGAAGAACGAGACAAAAATTTTTTAACATGAAAGTGGGCGGACTCAGTATGGGTTTAGCCTCCAATGCCAAGTTACGTCATGTCAAGCGCAGCAGTGATGCGTTCCTGGCCGTAATGCGGCTTTCAAAAGTATGGCTAATCAGCGGATCCTGATACACCAATTACCGTTTGAGATATTATAAGGTCTGATGGAAAAAATCAGCGGATCCTGATACACCAATTACCGTTTGAGATATTATAAGGTCTGATGGAGTGGCAGTTTAGGAGTGATTACTCACATCACCAAGGGGAGAAAAACTGAACACTTTTCAGAACATCACTTTACAGGTTGTGCTAAGCAAGACAAGTCACATAAAATCATCGCATGAACTCAAAGGCAAAGTGCGAAACAGACTTGTGGAACGTGTGGAACGATCAAACATTGCAAAAAACAATGACGGAGTGGTTGCTTTTATAGCTATATAGAACCAACAGCTAACAAGATTGTGGAATGTAACTGTTAGTGTTATAGTACATAAACCAAACTGGTACGAAGGTTGTCAAATAACCAGGACAGGTATGGGAAGGACGAGCTGAGATGAAACGAAAAGGACGAATTTATTTAGTCAACACTGCGTCACGTAAAAGGGGCACAGCTGCTAATCATCAAACTATCATACACACAGAAAGACGCAGTTCACTTGTGACATCCAGATTGATAACCCTGAGGATCAAGGCAGCTAGGCGGTCAAGAAGCGTAACTGCTGACCGAGCGGTAAGCGCCTCAAACCTCACTCGTTACTTATTGGTTTGGATGACCTAAGCGTATCTCAGTCCTCACATTTCCTTTGAAAGTAATGCACCAAGGCACCACAGCTGACATCAATCCTGTAAAGGTATCACAGTAACCAATCAATTAATGACAATAACTATATGGTAGTAGAGTCTGTTACCAGGCGAACAACGAAGAAACACAGGAGTTGAACAGAAAATGGCTACGATATTTTCTTAAATCTTCATTTGGCTAACTGTTCAAGACTGCGAGGCGAAGTGGGTTCGTAAACATGACAGTAAGCGAGGGTTCTCATGTTTGTTAGAAAGATTTGTCTATTAACAACACGCCACTTTGGAATAAGTAACCGGAATTCACCTCAAACATACGTCCGGCATCAGCTCCCTGAACTAGAAAATAAGCGAACCCTAGCGTTTCAACATACCTGTTCAAATATGCGAACGGAACAGCAGTCATTATACTTTACATCCTATTTATTATACAGTATTCAGGAATCGAATCCAATTGACAATTACATTAAGGCATGAAAGGGGACCCTGTAATTTCTTTTTCCCATGTCACCAGACAAACCTGCGAAGCTAACTCCTTTGACTTCGTCAACTCCCCGAACAAATCAAGTACGAGGATCCTCCTCTCTAACGACCTCTCCTTCCAAGATGACTGACGTTTTCGTTTCGAAACGGCTTAGATAGTGCCAATTTTATCATCTGAGTGGAAATATCAGTCAGTC